AACGTTTGACAGATGCAGCCTATAATCTATATTAACAGAAAAGTAACAAAGTTAACTAATATGTGACCATGCCGCAACGCAAATTTATAGTGAAACAGAATTTGCGTGATTAATACATAATGCATAGTTAATCAACCGAAATGAAATAAGAATACACAAGGTGCCTCCCTCTTCCTTCTGTCTTAATGTAGTCAGAATCTATCCAACCAACCTATGCATAACACATAATAACATTTCCCATGCCACAATGTGGCAATCAGCTGGCATAACGGACAAAAAAGAAATTACTAGAGTTTAAACAGTTCCCCCAAAGGAGCGCATATAGGGAAATATCCCTGAAGTAATTGTCGGTGAAGGGGTTAATATTGGATGCAAGTACGTGCAAGTGTTAATTAACCTTCCCCGCTCGTTTGAGGTTAGTGCCACCCATAGTATGCTCCTGCCGGACGTGATATGGCCTGACCTGAACAAGCGTGGCCCGGTCTGAACGAGCGTGGACCGGGGGTAGAATCAGGGCCGTCTATAATATGATTAGGACCCTGGGCAATGCATTTTCTTGGGCCCCCTGGGCCCTGCTCCTTCCCCCCCCAACCCCTTAATTACACCCGACCCGCAATCACACTGACAGACATACTGACACATACGCACACAGACAGACATATTAAAACATTCTCAGATACATACTGACATACACATACACTGACACACAAATATATACTGGCAGACATACTGACACACACACAGACACACATTCATGAATACACAGACACATAAACTGACAAATATACTGACACACACAGACGCATACACTGACAGATCTATTGACACACACAAACAGGCATTCTGACACAGACACACAGGCAGACATACTGACAAACACACAGACATACTGACACAGACAGACATACTGACACAGACAGACAGACATACTGACACACACACACAGGCAGACATACTGACACACACACACAGGCAGACATACTGACACACACACACACAGACATACATACACAGACATACATACATACACAGACATACACAGACACACACAGACTTAGTGACACACAGAGACATACTGACAGACACACAGAGACATACTGACACACACACAGACATACTGACACACACACAGACATACTGACAAACACACACACATACTGACACACACACACACACACAGAGACATACACACACAGACAGACACACAGACTTAGTGACACACAGACATACTGACATACACACACAGAGACATACTGACTCTCACAGACATAGATACACACATACTGACATGCACACACACAGACATACATTTAGCCACCCTCCAGTTTCCTACCTTTTTCTGGAGGGTGGTTTCCCTGGTCCAGTGGCAGGCTGAGGCAGATGGGAGTTCTCCTCTGAAACTCCCCTCCTCCCTGCCTTCCTCCTCCCGCGTGGTTGTGATCACCGGTGGGAGGAAGTGACGCGCGGCACTCACTTCCTCCCAGCCGGCTGCCGAACAGGAAGGGGCCCGGTCGCGCTGTTTAAGTGTCACAGCGCCCGACCGGCCCCTTCTGCCACATGCCCACCGGGTGGCCCTTAGTGCATGGGCCACCCAGGGGCCCTCTTTAGCGTGCGGCTGGTGTGGCTCTGTGCAGCCGCCCAGCCGGGTCCAAGGGGAGCTGCTCAAATCGCGGGGCCCACGAGGCAGCTGCTCTGGGGCCCCTCAGGAGCAACTGGGCCCGGGGCAACTGGGCCCGGGGCAGCTGCCCCGCGTTAAAGACGGCCCTGGGTAGAATGTAGTATTACTCACTGTACTGCAGTAAGCATAAGTCTGGTCGGGTAGCTAGGTTTCTGCCGCGGCTCTCGCGTCTGCTTACACGCGGACTAATTCCCGGAAGTGACGTCACGCTCAAACGGAACGAATGCCTAGGAGGAGTCTAGTGCCGATGGGGAGTATTTATATTAGCACTAGCCCCTCCCACAACTCCAGGCCCCACCTTTACATACATATATATGTCAAGAGAACAATTTTAATTACAAGGTTAGAATAATTGGAATGTAATTCAGTGACCCCCACAGCCAGCGGAGAGCAAAATATAAAATTGAATAATTGCCGTGCATGGGCATTTTGTCTCCCCCGTCAGTGGGGGAGGACCGTGGGCAGAGCCTGACCCAGCACTGAGGGACATCAGCGCTGGATCCAGGTAAGTGTCTGAAGGGGTTTTAACCCTTTCTGCGACATGGGCTGGGGGGCAATCCAGGATTCTCTAGTGCCAGGGAAATGGGTTTGTTTTCCTGGCACTGGAGAATTCCTTTAAGAAGCAAAACTGCCTTGTAAGAAGCCAATTAATTTTTTTCTATACTACAGAACATGTTTCTTTTCTGCATTAATTTTAAAGCAAGCATGTACAACCCGTGGCCCAGACTTCTTGTAATGCAGCCCAGTTGCCGTCCAGATTGCAAGGCCAGGGAGCCCATTAATTACTATGTTCTTTCTGCACAGCTCCCTCGCGCGTCTTGCAGTGATCTGGCAGCTGGGATAAGAAGCCAACCCGGCATTAGTAATGGGCTCGTGAGTGATCCCATCACTGCAGCAACCACTGGCCACCAGGGAGAAGATCCACCCCAGCCCTCACAGAGCAAAGGAGGCTGGGTGGACCTCTTGATTACTAAATGTGTGTGTATTATTGTGATTTCGTTAAACCGCCGTTTAGTAGATCTTCCCCTTCCAGAGACACAGGCAGCTACTGTAGACACCAATCCACCGAACCGGAGAGGCATATGAATGCTCTCAAACATACGAATACTGTAAACAGCCGAATAGGAAAAACCATACGAATAGGTTTACACTCCTAGCAGTCGAACTGGAACAGCATACAATAAATCCCCCCAAGAACGAGACAAAGCTCGGTGTTGAAGGTCAAGCAGGAACAGACAGAGCTGTGGGTTTATTGTTCTTATGTAAACATTCTTACACATTAGTACCACCCACAGGGTTTTGGAACACAACCAATAAACATGTACAATACACAAAATCCTCCCCTCTGCCTGTGATACAATTATCTTACACAATGGGTAATGTAATTATCACAGCCAGAGAAACAATTTTTCCACATTATTCATAACTTGAAAAGTATGCATCACATTCACATAAAATCAGCATGCTCCAAATACAAACATATGTCAAAATCATCCAAATTGGTCCATTGGTTCAAAAGACAGATCGAAGTCCTTTGTGACCAAATGAAGCATGGCTTTTCTGCTCAAAACCAGTTCCACAGAGTCTTCTATCCTGGAGATAATTGGGAAGTAATCCAATTATCTCCAAGGGCAGAGTCAAAACTCCATTGAACACATGGCAGCAAAAGACAATAAAACACATAAAAATATATAACTGTGCAGCCATTGCACAAAACAGGTACATTCAACATATCCCCAGATAGCTCAGATCTGAGCGCACATTATTACCGAATGGCGCTCAGAGCACACACATACAGTTCAATTGCCATGGAGCCAAAGTCTTTCCCATAGTCTTTCATTATACAAAAGGGCTCCATGGCATAGCTATCTGGGGTATCACCGCTCAAACAGGGCAAGCACCGAATGACCAGCTTTCGTATCTTCGCAGGGGAAAATCAAGCGTTTCAACATGGGGCCATAGTCTAAAGGCAGCAGGCAGGCCACCAGGCTCCTCCAATGCACAGTGGCGAGATTGGTCTCGTCACACACATAATCCGTACAGCCTCTGTAGTTCTTATGGTGCCAGGAGTGCCCTAGCGACCTCCCAATATAAGAAGTTAAAACCGGTTTTACAACTAACCTGGGTCTCACCTGGTGTGTTAGCTCCTGCCAATGAGCCAAGTCCAGTTTTTCGGACAATGCTCATTGCTCGAGACTGACCAGTGTAATATCTCAACCAATGAGTGTGACCCTTTACGGGTGGGCGCAGCTCAGCAGAGCTAACTGGAAGCTCCTTGCATACGTTTTAAGCAGATAGAGACGACAGCTGCCTCGAGGAACCCAGATACATTGTCAAACCATTCCTAAACAATTTAACTACTTACTGTGGGATGTCGCCAAGGCAGTCCTGTCACCAGAACATTACAGCAGGATGTAGTTATGGTGCTTGGAGTGAATGTTACTTTAGTACATTGATCAGCACATTACATAGTTATATACAAACTCCATATTTTATTTAGCATAAGTTGACTAGCATAGTTAGGTTACATAGCAAAAGGTATTAAGATTTATAGGTATAAGGGATCTAACTTACAAACTATTTTTTTTTTTTAATGAATTTATAACTATTCTGTGGTCCGTTAACGGCGGCTTGCTAATAATACATGAAAAGGATTAACTAATGTCCACCACAGACACCACATTTATTGGTGGATATTAAATATAAACTGGGCGGACAGGACATCCATACCCCCTTTTATTTTTTGCATTAAAAAATTAAAATGTAATAGGTACATCAGTACCTCAAGGTGCATACATAGAATGCCATTGGAATCCGTTTAACTATAATGAGCCACAACAGCAAGAGAAACAGGTCAAGGTTCAAGCCAGACTTACACCCGTTACCTCTTGTATTTCTAGTTCCACCAAATGTTAGGAATTGAAAATGTGCTTTTCCCACAAATGTAGCAGGTAGTAGGGACTTTTGTCCAATGTTTCCAGTAACATATACCTTATATACAGTATTTTATGTTCAGTATGGGTTGAGGATATATTGAATACCTGTATGTACATTAAAGTCTTTCTACAATTGTTCTGCTTACCTCATCTGTATCTGACCTTCATAGTGACTGTAAACTCAGCAGTTTCATTATCTTCTGCTTTTAAATAATCTGTAGCATGGATATATGTGTGTGCTAAACGACAACAGAGAACCTTCTTATAAATGTATTCAGAATAATTAATGTATTGTCGTGAACTGTTGATAAGGAAACACGTTGTGCATTCATTAACACATTGTTAATGAATAAAGTTTAAAAAAATAAAATAAATAAAACTGTGTTCTGAATTGGTAAACACGGAAACTGAAAATAAAGGGAATAATATTTTATTCTCTCTAAACAAAACAAAAAAATATAAGATAATACTTTATTAGAAAAGTACAGTCATTTTACATTTATAGACATTTACAAGGTTGCAGAACACCGAGATCCACACTGAAACAGTGAAAAAATACCTGGTAGGGTATTCTAGCGTGAGTCCACCTCGATGAGTCTTGTCTGCTTGTGTGTAAAGTTAATTTAAACAATCTGCTCTGTCTGCAGTCTATAACACGGTCAACAGCCTTGAGGTGGATCAAAAAGTGTTTCCCAGAAGTGAAAACATTACTTGTTTTTCTCCAGAGGACCAAGTGCCCAGCGTTCGACTTGGAAGATAGAGGTCTTCCTCCATAAAAGGATATTGGCTTGGACAATAACACAGCTACCAGTTAGGCCCTCACTTCATTGGTTGTTTAAGATCAAATAACCCAGTACCTCCTTTTACAACTTTTCCAACAACCAAGCACGCAGAGGGAGATCGGAGATCATCTTGGGCACCTGGACAACAGCAAAAAAAAAGAAAAAAAGAAAGAAAAAAAAAGAAAATCATTTATAAAACAAGGAAGGTTTTAAAGTACTCTAGTGAGAAAAAATAAAAGCGTATAGACATTGAGGTCGATTAACTAAGCAAGCACATCAACATATGTAGTTCACAGAAATTCAGGAGAAGTCCAGTGCATTTGCTTACTGCATAATATTAATATCAGTGTAATATAGACATTTGCAGACATGTTTCTGCTTTGGTAGTTTGATAACTAGATAGGTAGGCACTTTATTCAACACAACTCTTTAATTTTCATGCTACTGCAATGTCGGGAGTCAATACCTCCCAAATGGCCCTCAGAGAGGGAGAGAGGATTCAGATAACCTGTCCTCTTCTAACTCCTCAGTGATCCCATTTTTCACGCTAGATATTTGGTAAACATGACATATCCCAGAAGCACAACACTATAGCTAGCAGTATTGCGCAGCATCAATGAGCTCCACAGCAACAAAGCACACAGTAACGCATGGAGTTAATAAGGGAGGTCCACAGCAACAAAGCACACAGTAATGCATGGAGGTAATAAGGGAGGTCCACAGCAACAAAGCACACAGTAATGCATGGTTATACCTGGTAGGAATGGGTGGACCAGAGTTATACTTGTATGTACTGTATGAATGAGTGGATCGTAGAGTTCCACTGCAATCAAACTCTGTCAGGGTTATAGAAGGTCAAAATAAGCAAACTGAAAAAATTCTGTAATTCGGTTATGTTTCGTAACGAAAGTTTAGTTTCGTTACCTTGACCTTAAAAATGAAATTCCCTATGAATTCTCACTTTAGTAAGTAGCCGTGTCAGAGTAATGTACTGTGTGAATGAGTGTGTCTGAATTCCACAGCAATAAGATTCGCAGTGTGCATTTAAACTGCAGTGCTTTTAGGTTTTCAGAGAATGTCATTTTTTTGGCTTGATGACTAAATTCTATAAATAATAAAAAAAACAATATCAGGAAATCACCAGAAGTAACAATTACCTGCATTAAACTAGTGTCCCTAATTTTACTATTTCAAATCCTGGCAGGTGGGGAATTGTGAGAACCGCACTCGTTACGCTATGCAGATAAGCCTGTGTGATGCATCAGTGTTGACATACATTCAAGGCAGATACTCAAACATTACAGAAACAAAAAAGTAGTTTGTTAAGTCTATAAATAGAGCAGGGTGTTACAAAAACACAATAAACAGAGTTACAAGGTTAGAGGTTACATACAGATATGTATGTAATATAAATTTGATTATATATTTTTATATTTTATTTTACTCTCTCACCCCTCCGGGCAGTATTTTATTTTACACTCTCACCCCTCCGGGTCCTCTACCAGAGGCTAGGAAGTCTGGGCAGCATCTTATTTATTCCTAGAACTGCACTCTTCTGGACAAAATTCTCAGCTGTCCCACCCGGAATCTAATGAAACCATTCTCCCAACTTGGTAGCGTCTCTCGGTGTATGCTATTTATTTTAACATCTTGCAACCGCTTGGATTGAAACTTGTTCTTACTATTCAGCTCTGAATCTCTGAAGGGATTTGGATGTTGCTATCCTCCTTGCCTCTTCCTCATGGTTCCCATTTGTTTGTGGTACCCCCAGCCTCTTGTAGCTGTTCTCTACATCTCCTATTTGGCCTTCTGGCACGTCAACTACCTCAGTCCTGTACCAGAGTGAAAAGGGCATCAGTGGAAGTAATAAATGCACTTGCCTCTACTGTGCTTTTGCGTTGTGGGCAATTTTTCCACCCAGGGCATCCTCATGGGTGAGGGTGTACATGTGCACACGCATTCTTCGGCATATCTTGAGTAATGCCATTAGTGCATGTGTGCCATGCGAACAGCACTGCAAGTGTTGATGCAATTTAAATGGTGCACTAAGAGCAGCATTCAATGAGTTAAAATAGGAGATTTACTAGGTTGGGGAAGCAATATCAAACAGGTAGCATCTCGTGTAGTAGGATGCTGGTGGGTATGCCCACGGAAGTAGACCTGCCCAGAAAGAACTGGCAAGTCAGTCAGGCTTGAATGCACACCAGGATGTCTGCCAACCAAGCACGCCAGTCCACGAAGGTAGGACCATGCTGGGAGAACATTTTCCAGCACTCTCTGCAGGGTCCTAGTGCCCTGAGCAAAGCACATTTAATGAGGCACTCACTCTGGGAACTAAAATACAAACTGTCCTGACAAAATAGTGAAGTGTATATTTTCGTGTGCAAAAAATATCATGTGACATTTTCGCTAGAAAGTAAAAATAACAAAGTGCATGTCGGACACACCGTATGTTTTAAAGTCACATGCAGGTTTAAGGTGCAGCCCTGCCATCAGACTGAGCTAAACCACGAGACACAGAGTTTCGGGGATAAGTTGCAACCATATAAATATGCTTGGTATGTCAGGTGATTGAGAACGACCTCATAAAACGATGAAAAATTTCAGCTTTACAAATTGAGGATAAACTTACAATGAACAAACTATTAATGTCTATTTGTTGATCATTATTGTGTAACTTTACAGTTGAAAGCAGGGATATACGTTTTCCCCTTTTGTTTTGGCGGCAGTACCGTATGTACAATGTTCATTGTAATAATAGACAGGTAACCTCATCTGCAATCAAAATTTATTTTTAGCATGTCTAACCCCCCCAACCAGCCCTTAAACAGACATGCATCAGTTGCCCATTATTAACTTGGAGTTATATATATTTATTATGTTTATGTTCACTGTTTATGACTTTCACTTACCTGATCCTTCATATATTTTTATCCCAAAAATATATCTCCTCTCTATATCTCTAATTACCGCAATATCTCCATGCCTCCCAACCATAACAGTGTTTGGTTTTTTTCTTCTTAAATCCCCCCTCTCATAATATTGTAAAGCGCTATGGAATCTGTTGGCGCTATATAAATGGCAATAATAATAATAATAATAATAATTATACACACTCACAGGGCTGCACAGCATGTTTGTTAGATGAGTGCTGCTGGGGCCAATTACTACAACATACAAAATCCAGCGCATTCACTAACAAAAATACAATAATCTTTTTCATGAACATCCAAAATAATTGGGATCCAACCACGGCACATGATCACACAATGCATCAACCTGCTACAATGCAAACGTACCCCATTTCTGGCCAGTCTTACCTCCTAGCAGACGTTGCAAATGCATTGTCTGCTCTTATCAGATTAAGCCGGTTACTTGGATTCATTTCCTTTTTTGGGTTAATTCCCTTCCCCCCTGAGACTCTCTGCAAGTTAAGGTTAAATAAAGTCCTGGAATGGGGTATCTGCGAAAGGAGGGATGCAAACCAAAAGTAGTTGGCCTGGCCTCCTAAATATACACTGATCATTCACAACAGTTATACCACCTGCCTAAGCTATGATGCATTGAGGCATGGCCTCCAAGACCTCTTGCTAATGTCTTGGTGCCAGATACCAGAGGACATGTTCAAAGTTCCTTTAAGTCCTGCAAGTTGCAAGGTGGGGCCTCCATGGATCAGATCTGTTGTTCCAGCACATCCCACAGATGCTCAATCGGACTGAGATCTGGGGAATTTGGAGGCCAAGGCAACACCTTGTGTTCCTCAAACCATTCCTCAAAATTTTTTGTATGGAAATATCAAAGCACATTTGACACTGGAAGACATTTGAATGTGGTCTTCTTTCAGCACTTTCATTCGACACTACAGGCTAGACATCTGGGCCTCTGAGGAAGCTCCTTCTTGGTGTAAGCTGTTGTAGGCTACAATAATCTGAATACTTTACCATCTGTTTTCTTAGGAGTTACTTGCCATCTCCCTCCTGTACTGCTGCTGCTAAAACGTAAGGAAAACCGAAATACTCTTCATAAATATTTTTTTCCTTACTATTAGCAGTAATACTTTTTTCCCTCCGCGATTTATTAGATTCTGAAACTTTGGCATAATTTGATGACAGTGTAGTTTTATTATCTTGGTCGGTTTGTGACAGGTATTTAAGAACGGTTTGTGGGGTGGGACATGGGAATAAAATCATTTATTAGAGAGGAGGTTACCTGTCCAATACAATTAACATCCTTTCTTTACTTACGTTAATACAAAGGTAAAAATAAATTACAGGGAACAATAAGTGTCCATTGTTTTAAAAACCTTCAGCATCTTTTGAGATACTTGCAGGTAGACTAATCACATAGTTAAACATCCAGCATGCAAGTGGTTTTTGGTAATTTCAGACTTGTCACTCAGCCTGTAGTTGCTTCAATTTTTCATTGCCTGAGGCCCAGCAGAGTCTATGCAGATCCCATTGCTCCATATACACTTCACTGTACAAAGAAAGGTGTGCATGTGAAATGTTTGTGTAATGTGTGTGTAATAGATGAATGCAAAGTGTATGCAATGTGTGAACTGTAAACACATGAATAATGTTAAGGTGCAATGTGTTAGTGTGAAATGTTTCAGTAATGTATGAAAGTGAACTGGGTATAATGTGTGTGTTTCATGTGTGAATGTGAAGGTTTTAAAGAGTTGGTGTTTTGTGTGAATGTCAGTGTGTGCAACGCCTCTTTCCTGTGGTCTATCCCCAGGTACACACAACACATTACAGAAGGCAAGTAACGGTGGGTTTTAACCCTGTATGCACAACTCTGCCTCTAGGAGATTGCAAAAATGTTATGCATCCGCTGCATCTCTCAAGTTGGACTTTGAAAAGACTTTCTTGGGCATAGGAACGTGAGAAATCACGTTTCCACAACTATCGCAGAGTTTCCAGCGTGACATGCAAATGAGCACAGACAGGCATATATCGCTTCAAACTTCGTTGCTGCAGATACCATAAGCAATGTAAACTGCTTTAAACTGCAGTTTTGACCTTGTGGGTCTCAATAGCATGTGTCGGTTCTGGTCTGCAAGTTAAAATCTCTCTCAGAGCCTATAGCTAGGTTTAGTTAGGAGATTATACAGACTGCGGTCTTGACTATTGGTTCCCAAGCTTTCACTGGAGCGAGGCACGCTACAAGACATACAAACATACATTTCTAACGGCAATGTGCCATATATTTGGATGTAGCTTATGATTGTGAAATAGTGGCTTAGACAAGAGGAAATCTGCACTTAAAGGCATCAGTATCCTGCCTCACCCATAGTCCTAAATTTGGCTGGTCAAATGGGAAAAATGTCTCTTGCTATTGTGAAAAGCTCTCGGTTTATTTGGTCAGAGATAAAGAATAACAAAGAGAGCTTTCATTCATTTGAGGACGTTATGTTTTCTAACTTCAATCAAACATTTGATGACCTTATCTGTTCAGTGTGTCATGTAAAAACTAGCACTTTGCATCAGTCAGGGCTACACCTAGGAAGAATTTCCTGGATTGAGGGACAGATAGGACGACACAAAGGGCATGGCCAATGCCACACTTTACCGTATAAATTATTTATTTTAACCATTGCTATCTTTATTTATCAGAGCTAAACTATCAGGGCTTGAGTCCCGCGGGAACATGTGGGAACCGGTCCAATTTCCCCAGCAGAAACACTGTTCCTGTTTGGCTAAGAAGCGACCACTGCCTGCCAAGACAACAAGAGCCATGTAAAATGTATAAAAAAAAATATAAAACACATACAAGATCCAGCACTCACATGAACTGCTTACTTGCCAAGGTGTTATAGTACTCCAGGCAACTGCATGTAAGCCAACAATGGAGAGCAATGGTTGTCCTTCCATGCACCACTTGCGGTAGGTTCTAACCGTTGCATGTCGGTGACAAGACTTGCTCTGACCCAGTCATGTAGCCCTCACTATTTTTCCCTTGTCAAAGTCACTCTGATCTTTTTGCTTGCCCATTTTTCCTGCTTACAACACATGAAATTCAAGAACTGGCTGTACCCTTGACAGGTATCACTGTAACGATATAATCAATGTTGTTCACTTAACCCGTCAATACATATATGCATTAAGCATATCTGCACTTCCCCTACAAGTCATGCCACCAGCTCATTCCAAATACGGAAATGTGAGAATCCCACACATTCTGCTTTACATCCGGAGCATTTATTGACTAACAATGCAGAGAAGCCTGTGTGATATAGCAACGCTGATAGCGAACAGAGAAGGAAGATACTAAATTAGAAATGCACGCAGTAACCACACAGTAACTTATTTACTCTATAAACAGCGTGCTGGGAGTGAAACAGAATTTAACACATGGTGTAAATAGAGTAATGAACTCACTTCTTAAGTAAGTTTGGCAAAGTTCTCTTTTTCTGTCCTTCACGTGAAAGCTTTCAGATGGACTTCACAGTAAAGGTTCACTTTAATACTCAAACTCATTAATGGTTTTGTTTGCATGAAACCCGCTAACAGAGACAAACCACGGGACTCGCTATAGTGACTGAGCAGGGTAAAGGGCGCACTCACAAAACATGTTTGGAATGTCAGGTGACAGTGGATGACTTCATACAATTATGAAACATGTCCTGACACGGACCACAAACCTGCAACTTGACAGATTAACCCCATAAGGTCTAATGCTGATCTCTGCATTCCTAGCAATTCGTTATTTATGGATTCTATTCTTCACTGTAGGGGTGCATAGAACTTTCAGTGTTATATGATAGGGGCAGTCCGTTTAGGTATACAGCATGGCAGCTTAATCTAGCTGCATCTAGGTCTTTTGAATTGTTCCTTTCAACTTAACTTGTGTAAACAAAGAACATTAGCAATGGCATGTAAAACTTTCTCTGATTATATTTACAGTTCTCAAAATAAAACAAAAAAGATTTTCTTACCATATATCATATATACACACACACACAAAAAAAGTCTATAAGTCATTGCAGTCAGGCAGTAAATCAAGTAAGTGGCCGAGTGCACTATATCCAGGGCTTAAATATCCAAATGTAGTATAAAAATGTGTGTGTGTGTGTAATATATATTAAAGGTGGCTGCACTCACGGTTCTTGTTAAAAGAACAAAGTTATTCCAACATCATTAAAATGAGAAGATCAACGTTTCAGTACCATTCACGGACTTTTCCTCAGGATCACAATTACTGAGGAAAGGCCTTGAATGGGAGTGAAACGTTGATCTTCTCATTTTAATGATGTTAGAATAAACGTTGGACTTAACAAGAACCGTGAGTGCAGCCACCTTTATACATACATATATACACACATAGAAACAGGGGGGAACAGTCAGCACTAGATAAACTAAAGGGCAGCAACTCAAAAAAAAGAGAATCCCTCAAGAAGCTTTTGAACAAGATAGAAAATATCGGTATATGTGGAGAGAGAGGAAAAACGCCAAAATAGCCGATAGTGTAATATCGTCAGGATCCAGTAAAAGGTTATTAAAATGAAGGTAATACACTCACATTTAGAAGAGCTCAAGGGTAAAGGGCGTGTAGTGTATTTTCCCCGCTAACGGATATAGTGGAGAGGTACGTCCGTCAATCTGGGGGGGGGGGGTGTGTGTGTGTGTGTGTGTGTGTGTGTGTGTGTGTGTGTGTGTGTGTATGTATATATATATATATATATATATATATATATATATATATATATATATATATATATTAAAAAAACAGCGACAGTGCTCTTTTTTTTATATATTAACCCTGGAGCACTGCCTAACCAGACTGGATTGACGGACGTACCTCTCCACTATATCCGTTAGCGGGGATCATACCACTACACGCCCTTTACCCCAGAGCTGGCTAGAGCTCTTCTAAATGTGAGTGTATTACCTTCATTTTAATAACCTTTTACTGGATCCTGACGATATTACACTATCGGCTATTTTGTTGTTTTTCCTTTCTCTCCACATATTCGCATATTTTAACCATCCAGGCAGATCAACTCTTGAGCATTGCCAACTCTCCCCCCATCCTGGTATATAGAGAGACTTTTACCATTTTATACTCCTGAGGTTATCCCCTTTTATCCAATTTTATTGTTCACTTGGGACTTTTTTCACTCCTTTCTGTTATTTTTAATATAGGCCTATTTGTTGTATCTCCATTTAGACCATTTGGTCTGGATGTTTGTTATTATAGATTACGGTTATTAGCCTCGGGCGTAGCCCCTACCCCCTTTGTATCTTTATTTATACACACATATACTATAGATATATAAATAGATAGATAGATAAGGGTTGTAGTTAGTAGCCCTCATATATATATATACACACACACACACACTCTTTTGGTATGTACTTTACAAGTAACACCAAGCCTCCATAGCAAGCCAGTAACCAACCTCATGCTGATGAGTTGCATTAACAACGATACAGCTGTCCATGAGTGGTTCACCGGCTTTGCTCCTCTTCCTGAGTTGTGTTGCAAAGCTGTTGTATACAGCAGACACATACTCCAAGGAATCCATTTATAAAGTAGAATTATGAGGAAAAAATGTGGTTCTTTGTTGACCTCATTTGCATACTGTTACCCAGAATCCCTTGCAGTAGTGAGATCACTGTTACAGTGAGATTTCTGTGGGGAAATCAAGTCTTATGGCTTGACGGGTGTGTGTGTTTGTGTTCAGCAATGTATTAAATATATATATATACACATATACATATACACACACATACATATATATATATATATACATATACACATATACACATACATACACACACACACACATATGTAGTCACTGGGTATTGCCACATCCACCACTGCAGATTTCTGTTCCTTGTTTACCACCACAATGCCAGGTATTTTGAACACTACTTGCTTGTCTGGATCTGAAAGACCCACAGAATATTAGCCCTGTCATTCTCAACTACCCTTTGTTATATCTCCCATCTGGATTTAGACAGGTCAAGCCTATATTCTGTGCAGGTGGTTCGCTACCCAATCCCAGGAAGTTGGTTGTGTCTCTCGGTGTATTGTGTCACTGCTAACATCTTGCACTTGGATACTATGTGCTGGATTGTCTCAGAGTCCTGTTTGCACATTTTGCAGTCTGGTGTGGTAGACTTCCGCTTCTATTGATGAGTGTCTGTTCCTGTGCTGCTAGGATTAGTGCCTCAGTGCTGTCTTTCAGTCCTGCCTTTTCCAAACTCTGGTTGGGTTTTGTCATTTGAGCCACATCCACTATCTGCCAGTGGTACAACTCAAGGAGAGGTTAACCTTTCCCTGGAACACTTCCTTTTCTGTATGCTCTATCTGTTGTGGTCTGGGGCATTTATTTAGCAGTTCATCTGTGGGAGCCATCTTTGTGATGGTCTATGTTTCATCCAGGACTGTGACCTTGAAACTAATCAGGCCTTGGCCTCCTTTCTCAGGGCTGTTGTAGTCTCCGAGTGCTGGATGTCGAGTGGAATGCTCTATTTATAGTTAATAGTACACTGCTCAAAAAAATTAAGGGAACACAAAAATAACACATCCTAGATCTGAATTAATTAAATATTCTTCTGAAATACTTTGTTCTTTACATAGTTGAATGTGCTGACAACAAAATCAAACAAAAATTAAAAAAAGGAAATCAAATTTTCCAACCCATGGAGGTCTGGATTTGGAGTCACACTCAAAATTAAAGTTAAAAAACACACTACAGGCTGATCCAACTTTGATGTAATGTCCTTAAAACAGTTGTGTGTGTGGCCTCCACGTGCCTGTATGACCTCCCTACAACGCCTGTGCATGCTCCTGATGAGGTGGCGGATGGTCTCCTGAGGGATCTCCTAAAGCATCTGCCAACTCCTGGACAGGCTGTGGTGCAACGTAACGTTGGTGGATGGAGCGAGACATGATGTCCCAGATGTGCTCAATTGAATTGAGGTCTGGGGAATGGTCGGGCCAGTCCATAGCATCAATGCCTTTGTCTTGCAGGAACTGCTGAAACACTCCAGCCACATGAGGGCTAGCATTGTCTTGCATTAGGAGGAACCCAGGGCCAACCACACCAGCATATGGTCTCACAAGGGGTCTGAGGATCTCATCTCGGTACCTAATGGCAGTCAGGCTACCTCTGGCGAGCACATGGAGGGCTGTGCAGCCCCCCCAAAATATGTCACCCCACACCATTACTGACCCACTGCCAAACCGGTCATGCTGGAGGATGTTGCAGGCAGCAGAACGTTCTCCACGGCGTCTCCAGACTCTGTCACGTCTGTCACATGTGCTCAGTGTGAACCTGCTTTCATCTGTGATGAGCACAGGGCGCCAGTGGCATATTTGCCAATCTTGGTGTTCTCGGGCAAATGACAAACGTCCTGCACGGTGTTGGGCTGTAAGCACAACCCCCACTTGTAGACGTGGGGCCCTCATACCCCGCTCATGGAGTCTGTTTCTGACCGTTTGAGCAGACACATGCACATTTGTGGCCTGCTGGAGGTCATTTTGCAAGGCTCTGGCAGCGCTACCTCCTTGCACAAAGGCGGAAGTAGCGGTCCTGCTGCTGGGTTGTTGCCCCCCTAGGGCCTCTTCCACGTCTCCCGATGTACTGTACTGTCTCCTGGTAGCGCCTCCATGCTCTGGACTCTACGCTGACAGAGACAGCAAACCTTCTTGCCACAGCTCACATTGATGTGCCATCCTGGATGAGCTGCACTACTTGAGACACTTTTGTGGGTTGTAGAGTCCTCCTCATGCTACCACTAGAGTGAAAGCACCACCAGCATTCAAAAGTGACCAAAACATCAGCCAGGAAACTTCGGAACTGAGAAGTGGTCTGTGGTCACCACCTGCAGAACCACTCCTTTATTGGGGGTGTCTTGCTAATTGCCTATAATTTCCACCTGTTGTCTATCCCATTTGCACAACAGCATGTGAAATTGATTGTCACTCAGTGTTGCTTCCTAAGTGGACAGTTTGATTTCACAGAAGGGTGACTGACTTGGAGTTACATTGTGTTGTTTAAGTGTTCCCTTTACATATGGTTCTTGACATCCATGGAGACCAGCTCTTCTCTTTACCAGGTTATTATTCCAGCTGGTTGCCTGAGAATTGGTAGTGAATATGTGTTAATGGCTGGGATCTTGTTTTTACCATTAAGCTTGGACTTCAGGACTTTTCTGATTCTGGAGGTACTTGACTGTTGTTATCCTCCTTGCCTGTTCCTCATGGTTGCCATATGCTTATGGTACCTTCAGGTACTTGTAGCTGTTCTCTAGATCTCATTTTGCTGTCTCGTACTTTAACTCCTTCTGTCCTTATCTTCCATCCCAAACTTATCTAGTCCGAACGACATTCCGTTTTCCTTGCTACATATCCTAGTTAGGTGGATCAGTGAGTCAATGTCCCGTTCGCTCTTGGCATACAGCTTGATGTCGTCCATGTAGAGTAGGTGAGGGATGGCAGCTCCACTCTTGAACCTGTATCTAAATCTATTTTACAGGTTGATCTGGCTAAGGGAATGTAAGTCTATGCAGAACAGTTTTGAGGCTAGCACATCACCTTGGTATATGTTACATTTGATTTTCACTTGTCAATTTCAAAGCTCACAGGATGTAATAGTTTTTGTTTTGTTTTTTAAACACCTAACCTAGTCAACAATAATGGGGGCTCTGTAACAGTATAGGATCATACATTGCATAAGCCTGCCATGCAACAAAAACTATTATATTCAGTGAGCTTTCAGAGTACGGTTTAGTGAAGGAGTGAGCATTCTGGATCTTGTATGAGATGTATCGATTGATTTATTTTTTTTTAAATGCATTAAATATTTCTAAAAACAGGATTAATTTTATCCTTCAATTTTACTCAGGCATTGTGTGATGGAATGATGTCACAAGGTTTCTTGCATCAATAATATTTTTTAAGGCGTTCAACTAAAGAGAGATTATAGAAAGCCTCCTACTACACAGAACTAGATGTACAAACCAATTACTTTTTTTTAACCTCTGGTACCATAACACTTCATATTTAAAATTAGAAATTCAACATGATGTAAGACATTTCTAGCTTTAATTTCTTAAATAAGTGCAGGGACTCTACGAGATAGGTGGACTGCTTAAAAACCTGCACATTTGGGTAGTTACTGAGAGGGTAGTGGATGCATGGAACAGCCTTCCAGCTGAAGTGGTAGAGGTTAACACAGTAAAGGAGTTTAAGCATGCGTGGGATAGGCATAAGGCTATCCTAACTATAAGATAAGGCCAGGGACTAATGAAAGTATTTAGAAAATTGGGCAGACTAGATGGGCCGAATGGTTCTTATCTGCCGTTACATTCTATGTTTCTATGAGTTCGGGGGTTCAATGCTGACAAGCTCTTTCGCAGTCAACAGATAAAATTATCACCTTTCTATCACTTTTATGATTTTGTGGGGGTTTTATTATCACAAAAGTACTTTTCTTTATCTGTTGCTGCGTGGAAACATACTTGATACACATATCTTCATAAGAAATGCAACATCACAGTGTATACTTGATTATTTTTATTTTTTGTAAACTGTAGACTTTTTAGAAAGTTGAATTTCCTCCATTTACGCAAATCTTATAAAAAAAATAATACTGTGGCAAAAGTTTGACGATATTTTTTGTTAAGCATATTCTACACTTTGTTTCAGGCAGAGACATCCACACCCTTATTGTTTTTCCTGTAAAAAAAACCCCTTTCCTTTAATTAGACTAAATCTCCTTTCTTCCAGTCTAAATGCGTGACCTCATGTCCTATTTATAGATTTCCAGACAATGGTTTGTATTGACCCCGAATATAATCGTATAATGTTATCATATCCCCTCTGAGGTGCCGTTTTTCTAATCTAAACAGATTTAAATTTGTTAACCTTTCTTCACAACTAAAATGCTCCACTCCTTTTATTAATTTTGTAGCCCACCTTTAGACCAAGCATCTATAAAAGTAATGTTTTGGGGTTAATCCAACAACAAATATTTTAAATTGTTTATAATCTGCAAATTTTATGAACAGAACTCTGAAGATGTTTAAGATAAAGTCCACAAGTCAGACTAAGATATTATTAAGGAGTAATGTTACTGTGTGCATTCGATAACTTAGCTTATTTGTTTAATTTTATCTTTTTGGCCCCTTTAAAATAAAATAAAAATAATTAAAATTTTGTAGACAGTACGTCTAGAATGACACACACAAAAAAACAAAAAAAAAAGACTAATGATTTTCTTTTTTAAATAATATCACAACCAATAGATAACGTTTAATGACTATTCAGTTGTGAAAAAAAAATTCCCCTAGTTGACAGTTGTGCTTTACCCCAGTATGGATTCCAAATAGATTAAGCAAGTTCTTAAAGTCCTGGAACTTTTGAAGGATTTTCTGGACAATATATTCTAGGAACAGATAATAATTTAAGACACGGATTCAGAAAGAGGCTAAGATGCATAGTTACCGTTCATAGTGGCATCCTTCAGAAATTTAAAACTGGTTTCAAAGGTCATCTGCTGAAAAGGAGAAGAGCTGGACCGAATCCCAAGGCGATTGAGAGGACTGTAAATTCCTTCGAAGCACATATAATCTGCTACCAGAGAGATATGGCGAGGATCCACCTCAATTCCTAAATAGATAGAATTCATCCTGGTTTAGTCAATCCTAGCATTCTTAAGGTGTTCGATCCACCAAAATAATAAACTAAATAAAATAAAAACCAAACAAACCAGCAATTTTACAGAGAACGACACTAATCATTTTTTATAGAATATATTTAAGAGTTCTGCAATCTCATAATGGCATGTTGTGAACTTAAGTTAAAGAGATACTCTGAGCATCAACACAACTTTAATGCATTTGGTAGGTTTTTGTCTCATTAACGTGTTGCATTTTTGCATCCTTAGAACATTACAGTTATTGAAAAACTAAAATGCAACTAAAAAAAGATATACATTTTAAATAAAGGAGATAGAAAGTTTCTCTGTTAAAAATATGCTTCCAAACCGTGACGCATATTAGAAAAAAATATAACACTATCTGAATAAAGTTATCTATTCACTAATATCGGGGAATATTCAATTCTTGTCTGTTTCTATTTATTTGATAATTTATTATTAACAGTTTAGCCCTGTTTCCTGTAGTTCCGGTTCATATATGTAATAATACAATATAAGTGTAATAAGTGCTAATGAACCTTTTTTTTTTTTTTTTTTAAACACATTTCCTTACTATTGCTCTTTGAATCACAAATCTGCGTTCATCAACAGCTGCACTATAGTGACAAAAATTGCAGGACAACAAAACACTTACCATAAACTGCAAACACGTCTTTAATTTCCTTTTCAACCACCCGTAAAGCCGCCTCAATACCGTATGTTTTAGCCATAGCATGGATATCATTGGAATAAAGACGTCGGATGTCCAATACCTAAGGTCAAGAATCATAGAATTGGCATATATAACGACGTGGCTCTCAGCAGTAGAGTGCTTGTTACTAAGAATAACAATTCAGTCAATTTCTTGAAGTTAAACCTCATATATAAGTTTGGATATATGAATTGTGTGCATCTGTATAACACTGACATAAGGTGCCAGTAACCTAGAGTATCCATTTGACCTCTCAAAAACTATGGATAGTCTATGCTGCTATCAAATAAAAAAAAAAGTAAATTTCAACACTAATCTGCTGGAAATAAACACAACTACTTGCATAAACCACAACAGTCCCCAAACAGCCCCCCTCCCCTCCACTGCAATAGTTTATTTAACTTAAAAATAATCAGAAGTGGCCAGCAGTGGTTCCTTAGGGGAGAGAAAAAACAAAAAAAACTTGAAAAACTGTATGGGATTCCCAAGATTTCCTAATATTCCCTATTTTGGCAATGATGGCGTTGTGAAACTTTTTGCAGTGGCTTATCTACCCTGTTGTGACCCGATACCCATTAGTCACTGGGATGTGACATGCAAAAAATCCATTAAAACTAACCATAAACAAATGTACTCACGTCAGAATATTTAAAGAGCTCTGGCAGGTTAATGCCTTCTGTGTTAAGAGTGAGCACTTTGTCCCCGTGCTTGTTAGTGGATTCGCTCAGCAAGCACCTTGTTATTCCGTTTGTCTCATGAATGACTACATTATGAGATAGTGAAACGACAAGGGAGGAAATGTCGAAATGGACTTTCATTAGTGGTAACTGTATTGTGACCTGTAAAAAAATAAGCAAGAAAGGGTTAACAACAGAATTACATGGGAGAAACAACCAGAGAAGCAAAGAGGCAAAATTAGCACAACATAGGACAATTTTATAAAAAAAAAACAAAAAAAGAAAACACACAACTAAAGGAAAATTCACACCCGGCTCTGTCCAACAAAATACCAGGGAATGTCCAGTTCCCAGTTGGCTTGTTTTGCTAAAATACATACAAATGTTCCATTCTAAAGGATGCCAGGTTCACTGGTATGGCTGAACGATCAGGTCTCCCCACCACACCCCACCTGGAAATACTTTATGAAATGTCCTATCCATATCTTATTATCTTATGAAGTCAACTGGACGTGCCTTTCCTAAAACTTCAGGTGACAATATGATGCAATGCTAGCTCATTAGATAACAGACCAACTGAAGAAAGAGTGTGACGTGCTTTGAGAGACACTGTGAGGAGAGAAAGGAATCTCGACAAAGTCAATGAAAAGTATTTATATTTTACCTCACACCATAAACATTTCTCTGTATCATATGTATAATCTAGCACGGCGGAGTTGAGGCTGAGCACAGCATTAATTCGGTTCTCCAAGGCCACATCCTTGGTTAACTTGCTCGTTACGGAGGGTAAGGAAGTTGACTCCTCTGGCATCGATGTTTGCTCATCTGTCTCTTGAACATCTGCAGTTGGAGCAGAATTCTCAGTTTCCTCCTCGTCTTCGTTCTCTGCCTGCTCCTCTTCCTCACTCTCATAATCCACCTTTGAAACATTGTTAAAATGAAGTCGGTGGTTACAAAATAACGTTCTAATGTACACAGTCCTGAAGTGAATGTTTGGGCAACAAATGTGTACCTTCAATAAAAACCAGATTTCCTATTTCTGCTCCTTTTGATACAGCCAGAATAAACCCTTAAAGGGTTATGAAGTTGTTATAGTGCCTTCAATCCTCGTCTCCCCACCTCCCCCCCCGCACTACGCATGCACCTAAGTCCCAAATGCTGCTCTATGAAGAGCATTGGATTGGACCGTCATCCTAGAGGCACACTTCCAGGATGACATCCCTCAAGGTGGGAGACTCGGTGCTGGAGAAAAGCAGAGTAATTTCTTTTATTTCATTTTTTTTTTCTAACAAGTGAGAGGACCCTAAACTAAATAGGGACATCAAGACTGTAGCATCAGGAATCCAGATATGTATGTGCCTTTAAAGACTATTGGCATTTCATGCTCTTGACATAATTTGTATGTTGAGCTAGCATCGATTATCACACCATGCACAGCCCCGCTGTCATTGTAGAATTGTGATATTACATTCTGATATGCAAAGTCAGTGTTAGCAGTCACCGACCTTGAGTGCAAATTAGAAGGAAATATATCCAGACTCTCTTTACCTCTTCTTCTTGCTTTTCTTTTCTTTTCGCATCAGAGGCATCTGCATCGCCTTCGTCAGCATCTGCGTCAACCACAGCTTCCTCTTCATTGTCAGCATCCTGGTTCTCCTGTGGGTTGCAGATACAATACATTCGTATTAACTCACAACATTCCGTGCTGTTATGGATTCTAAAGGGCGATGATGTGAACTTTCTCACAATGCTCAGTTATATAGTAGGCTAGCGGAGCATCACAGGTAGTCCATAAATATTTCCCGAGGTAAGTGGTCATGGTAATAGGGCTAGGGACCATGGCATCTCCAAAGCAAGGAGGTGAAAAGGACTGTGCTAAACTTAGTGGGGGGTTTTTAAACAACATGCAGATCTTTTTTTCTAGAGCTCCAACAACAATAAAGCCTTCAATTAATCTAATTCTTGTCTATATACATATGTGAACATTTTATATGCCCAGATTCGATATGTACGATTTATTTAAGTCTTTCTTAAATACAGAAAATCGATAAGGATGAAATTATAAAATAAAATAAAAAACTTTAATATCAACACAGTAACGCATGCAAGAGATGGAGGGATCAACTTCAAAATATCTCTAAGAGTATTATGCGTATTTTTAAATGGGATTTAAATATAAAAAAATGACTACATCTGACCTGGGGTCCTGGCGCCTCTTCATCATTATCTAAATCCTTCTGATTTGCTTTACGGGTGCTCACTTCCCGGAACGAGGCAAGCTTTGCACTTCTCCTCTTTATCGCATCAAACATGATTCGGAAGAACCTGTGCAGAGAATGTGTATAACGTTGAAGAACCCCTATAGGCATAAATTAATATCACAGACAAACATTTCTAGAACCTGACATTTCCAAATCCAGAACAAACAAGCACACAAGGTCCTCTTTGCCCAATTAACATGGAGGCCTGTCCCTTGTGGTTTAAATTCTGTTTAACACACCTTTTAGATAGTTATGAATCATGTACCCTCCACCCTTCTTGTGAAGTAATATAGTTTGTTTTATGAGAAACACCCTCCTTCCACATCGCTCTCCTTTTCTATACTTAAAGGGACAATATAGTCACCTGAACAACTTTAGTTTAATGAAGCAGTTATGGTGTATAGAACATGCCCCTGCAGCCTCACTGCTCAATCCTCTGCCATTTAGGAGTTAAATCCCTTTGTTTATGAACCCTAGTCACACCTCCCTGCATGTGACTTGCACAGCCTTCCATAAACACTTCCTGTAAAGAGAGCCCTATTTAGGCTTTCTTTATTGCAAGTTCTGTTTAATTAAGATTTTCTTATCCCCTGCTATGTTAATAGCTTGCTAGACCCTGCAAGAGCCTCCTGTATGTGATTAAAGTTCAATTTAGAGATTGAGATACAATTATTTAAGGTAAATTACATCTGTTTGAAAGTGAAACCAGTTTTTTTTTCATGCAGGCTCTGTCAATCATAGCCAGGGGAGGTGTGGCTAGGGCTGCATAAACAGAAACAAAGTGATTTAACTCCTAAATGACAGTGAATTGAGCAGTGAAATTGCAGGGGAATGATCTATACACTAAAACTGCTTTATTTAGCTAAAGTAATTTAGGTGACTATAGTGTTCCTTTAATTCCTGTACTGCCAGGTTTTGATTATCTCCACCATCCTTCCACGTTGCCAATTGTAAAGCCCTCTGGAGCAAAGTTTGAAAAATTAAGAACCAACCTGGTTTCCATGAAACGCAATATGTCCTCGGGACGCAAGGCCTTCTCTTGCTGATAATACTCGAAAGGCAAGAAATGAAACTTTATCTTGTACACCTGATATTTCACTGTATTTCCTACTATTTGGAAAGTTTCTTCCACGTCCACCTTGTGCAACACCTGCAGTCGTTGAGGAAACACAAAGTGAGCCATTTTATTTTTCCATCAATAACGCTAGGATGGTAATACAGAAAGGCCCATAATAATGACCAATCTAATGTTAATCTGCATTAAGAAGATAGCACAAACCAAATGTGTCTGATTTGTAGAACATGATTAACAACAACAGAAAACAAAAAATTAATAAAAAGAAAATAGAATCATAAAATTGAGAGCTGAAGTTAAATATAGGAATCGGAGGAAGTGACCCATTTATCACATCCCAATTTGCTACAGACAATGTACAAAAATAGAAGTAACAAAACTCATCATGGGATGCTAACAAAATTAGGCACTTTAGACAAACTTTGTCTTTCTTTGCCTGGATAACAATACGGGTAGAGGGCCTGAAAGCAGATTATATAAATCTAGAGAATTTAAAAATGGAAGTGTTCCATTGCTTACATACATAAAGCCAACAGACATTTTAAACATAACAAAAAGTAGAAGGAAACTGGTTATAGTTCAGTTATATGCATCTTTCACAGCTGTCTACATATTCTTTATATTTGAAGTTCAGATGAATATTGGCATGAGAAACTTTGCTGTGATGCCACAAATGCAGAGTATTTTAACGTTAATCAAGATTTTGATCTCAAAATTCCTGTCTAAAATCTACAAACAAAAGCCCTCTACACAAGTCTTTAAGAAAATCAATGCTGGATTCTTAAAGCTGCCGAAATGTGCCCCTACTACGAACATTGTTAAATGATTTTAAACGGCCGCATGAGGGTCAGTTCAGTCAGTGGATGGAAGGTTTATTTTATATGCCTTTTTGACAGTCACACAAACTGTGCTTACCTAAAACAATGAATGACATAATAATGTGACAACCCGTATTTAAATTGTAAAATCAGAGCGACACAGTGTGCGGTCAGCTGTACTTCACATAACACAAAAGGTGTGGAATGTCGCGGTTGGTTTCACATAGGCATAAAAATGAATATCTATAGCTTGATCAATTGAAGTGTGCGTGTGCCTCCCCCAAGAAGGCTGCCACGTCTGCCACCAAATACAGAGTACCACAATTCAGACAACTTATTATTTTGCAGAAGTAAACTGTCCGTTGAAGCATCTACTGACACAAACCTTACTTTCACACTATTTTTGTACTGCTTCTTTAAATGTAGCCAGATAATGAAAACAAAACACTGTGGCAGAAAGCATTCAGGGTCATAGCAAAACAAACACCAGGTCTTATCCCTAGGAGGGAGCGTGTTATTGATTATTTTCTTTCTGTTGAAACCGATTTTGTTAGAGGAGTTAGTTTATATAAAGAATTACACAATGCAAGAGGGACACAGTTTAAATGCAAATGCTTAACTATAGGGACTGTAATTTTCCATGTGTGAACGTTACATGACTGCGATCATATTCTCAATTTTTTTTTCAAGAATTCACTTATCACATCCTTCTCGCGCTTCATTTTGCCCAGCAGTGATAGTGGTGGAAGGATTATCTGAATCAAGCTGCCTCATAATAGTTTAGATACCTTTCCATCAAGCTCCGACGCACTGTGATGGCAATAGTTATAGCAGATGGTGTGGACGAATTTAATTACCATACGCTGGTAATTAAATCAGCTGATAAGGGGCAGGGGTTGTACTTTTGGAGAGGGAAGCCTATCTTGAAGAGTCCCTTAGACTATTAGGCGAAGACTCTACTTATAAAATTTTACCTAGAGACCCAACAAACGGTATAAAGATCACCTATAATCATTTAATTGATAAAGGGATTATAACAAAAAGATTTTGAATTCCTCAACGTACAACATCCTAAAATACCCGTATTTTATTATCTCCCAAAGTAACACACAAAAAATGGATAAACCTCCGGGCCGCCCCATCATTTCTGGCATTGGCTCAATATCAAGCAGGCTGTCGCAATATATTGACCACTGCCTGCAGCCAATAGTACAGAACTGCCCAAGCTATTTAAAGGACACCTTAAATATACTACAGGTCCTAAAAGATATTCAATGGGAGAATCATTTTTTTCTGGTCACAGCCGACGTCAGCTCTTTGTATACTATCATTACGCATGACAGAGGCTGTGAAGCTACCAGACATTTTTTAGAGTTATCAGACACATTGCCCCCTACTCAAATAGACTTTATACTAGAAGGGATCCGTTGGATATTAATGAATAACTACTTCTGGTATGATGATCAGTTTTATTTGCAGCTGTGCGGACAGCGATGGGCACCAGATTCACACCCAGCTATGCTTATTTGTTCATGTCATTATGGAAACATATTTTCGAGTTACATAGATGGGATGCGAAACTGGTGACCTATCGCCGCTACATTGATGACATCCTCTTCATCTGGAATGAGGATGAGTTATCACTCACCAACTTTTTGAAGAGCTTGAACCATAATGACTGGGGTGTTAAACTGACTAATGTATATAGTAAAGAATGTGTTAGTTTCCTAGACCTCAACGTATATATAGAGGAAAACACAATTAAAACTAGCACATTTTTTTTTTAAAAAGTCGATGTAAATAGTTATATCCAAGATGGCAGCTGCCATTACTCCCCATGGCTTTTAAATGCCCCAAAATCTCCACTTATGGGGATTAAGAGGAACTGCACAGACAATGAGAAGTTTTGTGAACAAGCACGCAAAATTATGGGTGACTTTAGTAATAAGGGTCATGAAGAAAAACTTTTAAAGAAGGCCCTTCAAGAAGTTAACATGCAAGATAGAGAGTCACTAATTTAATATAAAGATAAACCCCTAAACACCGGTACTCATGATGTACCTTTTATCTGTGACTTTAACTGCCAGACTAAACAATTGAAAAAAAATCTTGACTGAACACTGGCCAATTTTGAAAAGCGATGAAACGCATAAACACATTCTTCCAGAAAGACCAAAGGTTATATACAGAGGTGTCCCTAATTTAAAATGTAATCTCACTCAAAAGCACTCTTCCTTATAAAGCATTAAACACAATCCATTTAATGAATCTAGTGGGTTTTATGGATGTGGAAAATGTGGAGCCTGCAAGAATACAAAAAGCTCCAAACGCAACAAAGAATTTCAACACCCCCAAGACAGTAAACAAAAGTTTAAAATCAAAGAGATTATTACTTGTCACTCTAAATACGTCATCTATATGGTAACATGTACATGCAATTTGACCTATGTAGGACGTACTACTTGCCCGCTGCAGGTCCGAATACAAGAGCATGTAAGTAACATTAAGAATTGTTATACAAAACATAGTTTATCAGTGACCCAAACCAGATGACTTTTTAGGAATTCAGAAAGTTAATTTTAATTGGAGAGGAGATGATGATATTAGAAAAATGGGACAAACAGAAATGAAGTGGATATTTAACTTAAATGCCTTGCAACCAGTCTTAATAGTGATTTTGAGCTTTGCCACTTTTTAACATAATTTTTTACTTAGCCACTTTTTTATAACCCCTGTGGGGTTTTTAGAGGATTTTTGTATGTAATTATACAAACGAATTATATATGTGTCACATTATTTTAAGTTTAGATATTAGGTAAGCAGAGAGCACACACACACAAATATACATTCTGTATTAAGCGCCAGTCTAATATTGCACAGAGCACCCCCTTCCTTTGTATTACTAGCAAGCTGTCATATCACGCTGCCTTAAAATGACAGAAGAAGGTGCGTCTCTTTATCCCTTTCAGGCATCTTGAAGGCTGACAGGATGAGAAGGTCCTTCCTGCTCTCCAAAAAATATCATATTTCCAGTCTTTCTAGATAACTTTGCCATGTTCCCTTGAGTTTCTAGTGAGATATATTCTTTAACTCGTGTCTCAGGATGTCCGTTCAGCAGACACAGTTTCCAGTTCACGCTGATGGACATATGACTCAGCAATAACTCAGGAGCTCTTGTAAAAAACATACTAAAATATCAAAACAAACAAAAACCAGCACAAACAAATTAGCTTGGGATATCCAAGCAGCTGTATGGCGTTTGTTTTGCTGGCCTTTTACATAAGGGATTCCCATTTCAGCAGCACTCAAACCCACTCCCTTGATGGCAATGGTATAGTTTGAGGAATTACATACGTGGCATAGAAGTGTACTTACCTCTGACAAGCACACGCGTGTTAGTTGTTTCTTCAGCCTCTTCACCTTTTTCAATGCTCTTTTGGTGCCGATGACGGGCACACTCATCATGGGTGTTTTAATGTTGGAACTGGCAACCATTAGAATCTCCCGAAGTCTGTAAACGTGATCATACGACAAATTAATGTGTCGTCAACACTAATAATGAAATACAGCATGATATTGTTCAAAAGGTCACTTTTTAAAATAAAAAGATATATTTGAAACTATTCTGTCATTGTGGTAATCAGACAAGGTGTGCTAGAGATTACAAAAAAAAATCATCAACTTTGCAAACCTCTGACTCCAATGTACATCTTCATTCTAAATGACCCTAGCATCCATTTTATATTAGGTTATGGGTCAAAGAACTTGCACATAGGTAAAAACATTATAAAGAAATGATTTCCCTCTAGAGAAGGAGTAGTCAACTTTGTCCCTACCGCCCACTACTGGGCAGTTTGGGAAAATGGCCGTGGGCCAAAGTCGGCAGGGGAGATCCTTTCATCTCCACCTGCCGGCTCATGCAGAGCCAGCCTTGCTGTAAGCCCTCTCGGGCTAGTCAGGAGATCAAAACCTGGGGCACTCTGTGTTCCTCCCGTTAGAAGGTTGGTCGGAGCGCCGCCATGCATTACTATGGCAACTTTCCGATACAGTGCTGTGCTCACAGGAGGACAGGAGAGTGAGCCTGCACCCGGACAAGCAGCAGGCTAAAGTGAACATGCCAACACTGAATCACCAGGACTTGCAGCATTATGTCCCCCCCTCCAATGTAAACAGTAAGAAGAAGGGAGGGGGAGAAATTAAGATAGATTTTAATTTCTCACCCACCAACACACAGCATAGACCCTATGCATCCTTCACACCAAACACATTACACCCCTCACACACACACACTGCCCAATCACTCACAGACACTTTGCCCCCTCACACACTGCAACCCTCACAAACACACACACACACACACACAGACTGCCCCCTCAAACACACTGCACCCTTCACACCCTTCACACATACACAGTATCCTTCACACAGATGCACATAGGAAACCGGGACAAACAAAAGGACGCAATTCAAGCGACAACCGACCCGACCTACACCATACACACGGGTGAGGCCTGCTGGCTTAGCGGGTGCGGGAGAGGCGGCCGCTCTCCTGCTGCCAGGGACCAGAGGGCAACCTGACTCAGAGCCACCATTCACCCCCCTTGGACCGGCGGGGGATATCGCGGTCCAACCTTGTAAGACCGTCCGGCCACACAACGCTCAAGCGACAGAACCACGAAGGAGGCCTGCAAAATGGCGGGCGGCCCGCACTCCACTGCCATGTACTCAATCAGGAGGGAGACACAGCTCCGATATGAATGCATGTTCAGGGCAGTCTGGAAAAAACGGAAGGCTCTACTGTGGTCCCCGCAAGAGGAAGCCTCACCTGGCAGTACGCTGCGGAGACAGACACGTGAGGGCAAAGAGAAGAATGAGACGACCCCCACTCTCAAAATGGACACTTACAAAAAAGGGTCCAGCCCAACTGCACTTAAACGGAGAAAAGCAGTGACCAAACACAGACCGCACGAGGCCCATAAAGCCAAGGGGACTCCCACGGCACTACACCACAGACAGCCCAGCCGAACAGCAGAACCCACCGCGGAGTCAGGAGGGGTAAGACCTGACAGGACAGACCTAGAGGACGGCGGACGGTCAGGCCTAAACTGGCTAAAACCACCACACTGCCACAAAGAATCGGCAACAGCCAACGACCGCACCGATCAGTACAATCCACAACCGGGACCGTCACATACCTAAAACGCTGAACATGAGACATCACTGAGAACATGCGCCCGCTACACGGGACACCCACGGAATGCCGGAAAGAGGCAGCGGAGCCGGGCGATAAAACTGTCTCCACAACATGGCCCGCGTTAGTACTGACTTACTGAGCACTACAGACCCTCCAGACCCAAGACAAGACATAAGTTGTAAATATAAGCTGTTGATGTTAATGTTAATGTTGTTATGCCATGCACGCACCCTTTGCACTCCTGCCTAGTTACTCTATACCTTGTTTTACATAACAATCACATATCTGAGCATCATATATGACACTCTTAACAAGCTCACCTCTTTCACACCTACACAAGCATACGGCATACACGATATGGGTCAGTGGCATGTTAGACACCCAAAGGGGCCTACTCTACTAAGCTCAAATATACAAAGCCTGCGCACCCCTGGAAGCAACTATTTCTACATAACAAGGTACGATAAATGCCTACAGCATAAGTGACCTAGTCAGATCAGAATTACACAGAACAAGCTTGTTAACACAACCATGCTTATCTTACAACTCTTTAAAAAAAACTGTGCATTGTCCACTTATTCCCCACTGTACCTTTCTAAAAATGTTTTAAATATTCGCTTGCGCGATAAAATTAGTTACTTCGGCACTGGTGGGCAGTAAGGAAAATTTACCATCAATAAAGATACAAAAGTGGGTGGCAGGTATTAAAAGTTTGACTACCCTGATCTAGAGGCATCAACATAAACAAATCAATGAAATTAAAGATTGATTTCACCAAGGGTAGCGGAAAACAATCACACTTATTTATATTGCGCCAACATATTCTTCAGTGCTGTACAATAGGTAAAAAATACAAACATTTTATTCTAACAAAACATGTATGGTATACAGGAACAGTATGTGAAAAGGGTTCTGCCCAAACCAGCTTAAAATCTCAATCAAAACAATCGAAATCGACTAGCAGAAATGTCACTTTTTAATTTTTATTTTACAGAGATCAAAATTATACCCATTCTCCAATTATAAAATTAGTTCACTGACTCACTATTTAAAGAGACATTCTATGCACCAAGACGACTTAAGCTTGATGAAGCAGTTTTGGTGTATAGATCATGCCCCGGCAGTCTCACTGCTCAATTCTCTGACATTGACGTGTTAAATCACTTTGTTTATGCAGCCCTAGCCACACCTCCCCTGGGTGAGATTGACACAGTCTCCATACACACTTCCTGGGAAAACGTCTGAATTTGTATCTTCCCTTACTGCATGGTGTGTTTCATTTTGAATTTCTTATCTCCTACTCTGTTAATTGTCTGAGTCTACTGAAGCCCCCTGTGTGTGATTAAAGTTCAATAAAAAGAGCAGAAGATAAGAATATCTAAAGTAAACAATCTGTTATGTAAAATCAAATTGACAATGAAACCATTTTGTTTTCATGCACGCTGTGTAAGTCACACCAGGGGCAAATAAATGAGCAGTGAGACCGCAGGGGCATGATATATACACCCTACCTGCTTCATTAAGCAAAAGTTGTTTTGGTGCTTAGAGTATCCATTTAAAGGTTATACAATATCTAAAAACACAATTCACAGCTGCACCTGCATTATAATTCAATCACCTGGGGAACATGGTGATGCTAGGATATAGCGATTTATTGCAGATAGCGCCTGGATTCTGGTGATATTACTACATCTTACTTTACTTAAACACTTTAATTACTCTACTTACGTCATAATTGCATTATATTATTTCTACTGCTACGTTTCCAATTCTTTGCACCCAGGCCTGCCAAGGTACATTATTAAAACCAAATTAGATAGTAAAACATATCTACAGCACTAATAAAACTGACTAGAATGCCATATAAACAGATCTGTAATAATGATCCAGCTGGCTCATCCGTCCAATGCTAATCAGTCATCATTCATAAGGCTAATATTTACTTTTAAATCTGCCAAGATTTGCAACCTGGTGTAATCACACTAGGGATATAAAATGCAAAAAACAAACAAACCGCACAACATTAAATTAAATTAATAATGATTTAACCAACTAAAAATATAAAAACATCTGAATCAAGATTGGATTTTTTGACAACTCTAGTACCTCCTTCACCTTAAAATTTTTTTTATAAAACCACGTAAAACTTGATGGCCAATAAACCATACAGCTCTGCAGAATTTGTTGGCGTTTTATACATAATTATAATAATATATGATGACATCTGAGTCATCATACCCCTTTGATCATGTGCAGGTTTCATCTCCTTTGCCAATCTCGTTTAAATGTTCTCCAGGTTCTTACACGCTGCTGGCATCCATCATTCCTCACTCAGGATTCTACAAATCCTTAATCTCCAGTCCTGGCTCTTCAGAATTCTCATAAACCCCTGAACTTCAAAACTTTCAAAAACATGGAACTGGGCTCATCAATCTCCATATTAGTCACTTGTTTGCTCCATCATGAAAGGGCTGCTAAGCTGCAGAACATTGGTCCCCAAACAAGTCCTAATGGACATATAACAGTCCAGGCTTAGTCAGTATCTCCACTGGGGTTGATTAGATAAATCCTGGACAGTTTCCTGGGCCATGAGAACTGGTTTGGGAATCACTGCCTTAGAACAAGCCCAGGCAGCTGGCAGCTTCAGTGGACACTAGAGAAAAGCACAGAAAGAGAGTCTATGCAAATATTTACACCGAGCACAAAACCACTAAAACATCTAAGAGCTCCCATTGCATTTCTCCAGGTCTCAGAATTAGCAAGAGATTTTATTTCTCTAGCTGCTGGATGATGACATTTCCCAGAATCCTCTGCCAGCCGACAAAGCTGGAGGTCAAGTTTAGACACCAGCACAACCAAGAACACCTCTGGGATCTCGCAAATAATCTAGAACCATGTGATCTGCCAGCCTGATTGCATTTTATGCAATGCTAACGCCCAATCACATTCTCCTTCTGTATTTAGTGCTGCGGAATATGCTGGTCCGATATAACGGATTGTATCTGTATTTAGAGGTTAAATGACAGCAAAATGTGTAATTTGGATTTTCAGATATAAAAAAAAAAATAAAAAAAAAATATTAATACAAACGACAAGTTATCAAGGCACACACACGGAATAATAAACGGCCAGGTTAATTGCTGGCACACTGTATAAACCAGAGACACTAGTTTGGGATTCTTCCAAATCATGAGAATGTTGCCAGCTTTCAGAGCAAGACCTGTACACGGTCACAGGTATAAGTTAGAATACAATGGGATGTGCCGTATGGAGCTTTCTGTGATAGTCTTTCTATACTAACTGGTATCAAGAGATTACATAGACACACTGATACAAAGGTAGCAATAAGACAAATATCTGGCATCATTTACATAAAAGAAAACCAGTACCACATTTTAATACAGGGAAATAATTTAAGGAGAGTGCCAATATGAGAAATGTAGCCAAGTGATGCAGGAAAATGCAATGCATGTTTATAAGATTAGAAAAGTAAAAGGTATCAGTTGAAAAGAACAAGTAAAAGGTCGTGAGGGAAATTATGAGAAAACAAACATGGAAGAAAATATGAAAATATGAGTCGACATTACTAAGGGTTCACCTCTATTGGAATCACCAGAACTGTAGTAATTAGGAGAATTATAAATTAGGATATCTCTGAGATCCAGCATAAGTAACATTGCCCAAAATTGGATTAATACTATTAAGGGAACACAATAGGGGCAACAGTGGTTACGTAAGGTGCTCAATAACCTCTGAGAAAAACTATGTAGAACCAAACAGAAGTATAACGAAGAGTAAAAAGTGATTGAGATCTCTGTAAATTTCACCCAACAACTCCAGACTGTTGCAGAACAAACCGTTTGATGGGTTCCAAGTTTGTGAAGTAGAAGGTTTGGTACTGTCCCGGGACAATGAGACAGCCCGCAGGCCTGAAGGAATGCTGCAGTTTCTGAAACCGAGGTAAGCGTCAGTTGGGACCCAGATGCATCAGCTAGGAGGCATTTATTCAGTCCCCATCTTTACCAGATTTTGGAGTCCCTCAGCAGCTTGGTGATAAAGGATAGGGTTTCCCTTAGCATCAGCATGGATCTGCAGAGATCCTGAAGAAGGCAGAGTTGAAGAATTTCAAGCTAAAGAGGGGTCTTGTCACTCATATGGCTACCATAGGCATTTTGTCTCCAGGGGCCCAAAAGACCCCAAAAATGTTGTACCTGTGCGGGCTGTTGTTGTCAAGTAGTGGTAACATCCTTTCTCTGTTGACTTAAATTGATAAGCCCCTGGTCACATCAAGGTTGGAAATGAAAGATGTACGGATGTTCTTCATGAGGTTAAGAACATCCCCTTTCATTGAAAGAGAGGAAAAATCTTAGGTTACTATAGGTGAAGGAAGGCTATTGGCATGGGTAATTAATCCAATGTACCTAGGTCATCCTCCACTGAGGAGTTGAAGTGGGTTTTGCCATCGAGATGCCATCTTGGGGCTCTCTGTGTCAGCATGCTGCCTATAACCCAGGAACCATGGTCTGGAAGGACATTTTAAAGAGTTTGCCCCTGCTACAGGTTTTTAATCCTACTGAATATACTGTGTAATTCACTTTCAAAGTGGGGCTCAGTATCATCCAGTTCTTATCAAGATTAAATAATCCAAAATACCAAGAAATAATATAATGTAATCAACTGTAGCCCCCCTCTGCCACCAAAATAAATTCCAGGGCTGCAAAGTTGAATTTACCACCCATGTATGCTGCATTCCATCATAGGTAATGAGGAAGGGGACTACTTTTCCTCGTCCAGTTTTTTGCCTGCAGCTTTTCCCAGGGATATAATCCACCTTCTCGAATTATGGAACGGGTTGAGAACGTGGGAGAATCAGAGAACATGCACATGTCCTTATATTCGTCACTAGAACCCCTGTATAGAAACTCACATGTGCAAGCCAGCCGGGTACAAAATTTCACACATTGAAATAATTATTTATTTTTTAAATAAACTATTGGCAGCTTGCAGATGGTGGGGACGCCCACACATTAGTGTAATATATACACTGAGCTACAATTTTCAACTGCCAATGGCTAGTGGAACGAGAGAACAAACACAGACACAGAAACACACACACTTGATAATGCTCACAGTTGCATGGTTAATATACAGGCAGAAGGGGCAATACAGAAATGCATGATAAAGACTGGGAAAATGTAGGTGATAGTGTGCTGACCAGGTTTTGAGTCAGAGTGTCAATTAAGGTCAGCTGTGTTTTATTTAATTTTTCTTCACAATCTTTAAAATGTGTAAGATTTGCAGATGCCTGAATTGCAAGTCATTACAATAAAACAAAACAGAATGTAGTTGTAGGACACCCAATATATTGAGCACGCCACATTTCAGTGTCGGACCGCTACGTTTTGTTTTATTGCTTTTTCTCCTCCCTCCTATATTAGATTGGTGGTGTAAGGGGAATCCACAGTGTTGTAAATAAAATTAAATAATAAATACATAAAATGTATTTAAATATGTGACTGTTTTAAGTACCTTGAAAGATACACTGAAATCACAATTTATTTATTTATTTAATATCATTAATAAATTGTGGAGGAAAACAAACAATTTTTCGAAATTAAATCAGTTAACCCTTAAAACAGGCACTATTAATGGAGCATTCCAAAAGAACAGAAACATGAACAGCCAATGAGATTGTTGCTTTTTAGAATCTACGTACCTTGGAATACCTAGCGTGACATTCATTTCTCCTCTGCCTGCAAAGTGAAAGGTGTTCAAGGTCATCTGGGTGGATGGTTCCCCAATACTCTGAGCGGCCAGGAGTCCCACCGCCTCTCCTGGGTCACACAGGGCCCTCTGCCACTTAAGGTGCAGCAACGTCCTCAAACTGTCAGATGGAAAAAAAAGTCATAAAATTTATTTAAAAACTTCCCTTGATTGAAATGGGAAAAACAAAACCAACATGGAGTTGCTAGCACATTTTAATAACATACACATTAAGTTATATGCAGTATTCATTGGTTTTTAACGGAGCCAAAGTCCACGAGAATGATTTAAATTTGTAGCTAATAATCACACACCCCGGTCCATTAGTTAACGTGATGCAAGATAAGCAACAAACATTGAAATGAAAGTAAGTTTAGTGTTAAACACAATAGTGGTAGACAGCCACTAGAGGCAGTCTTAACTCTGCAATATAAATATTGCAGGGTTAAGGGGACAGGGACACTGTACCCAGACCACTTCAATTAGATTAAGAGGCCCTGGTGTCTATAGTGTCCCTTAATTCTATGTCAGAACCCCTGCACAGTCAGTAGGACACTTCTTCCAGACTAGGCTTCCTCAAACTCTGGCCCTCCAGATTTTGCTGAACTACAACTCTCACGATTCTATGAATGAAATAGATAGGCTGAGAATCATGGGAGTTGTAGTTCAGCAACATCTGGAGGGCCGGAGTTTGGGGAAGGCTATTCTAGACAAGTGTAACTAATGGATGTTGTCATTGCAGAAGCTATTAAATCTAGCAAAAAAAAAGAAAAGCATTTATTTTTACTGCCAATAGAATATAGTACTTGAGACTGTACAAACGTACGGTACCATTAGGCAATGACACATGGCGCTTGTCACCAATAGCAAAAGTACAGAGTTCTTATATCATTGATTCAAGTTTCAATTCAATTCAATAAAACTAACTACTGGTTTTAATACCTTATAAAAATGACAGCAAGTTCAAAGTATTGTTAATAGCTCTGGCTTTAATAGCTTGATTTTAAAATGTGAATAAGAAAAAGAAAAATTACTTGTCATAAGACAGGTTGGATTTCTCATAGCTGTTTTTCCTTTTCTCTTCCCATTGGAAGCCATATTGATCGACCTTGTCCTGAAATGTTTCCGAGACTGATCCAAAATAAGTATCTGGGCGACAGACTGCCAGGCAGGGGTCAGGGATGTGAGAAGACTTTTTAGAATATTTGCCTCGAGCCTTCTCTGGGAGAGAATACCACGTATCCAACAGCTGTAACAAACATTTTCAAGAGAACAGGAATTGAGAAGGCTGGCAGTAAACACATGGTGGGCAAATGCTAAAGCTTGACAGACAGAAAGACACACACACACTCTAAAAGCAATACTGCATTCACATGCACACCAAAAAGCACAAACTTTAATTTATCTATATACACACACACACACACACATACACACCATGATAAAACATCACTGAATTCACACTTACACATAAAGAGACAGAAAATAAAAAAAGAGATGAGACACAAGGTAGATGAGAGAGACACACACACACACACACACACAAAGATTAGCTTTGAGTATTGCTAAAGTTGGAATTACTTTTGACACCTCTTGGTATTCCTATTTTTATGACATGCTATATATTCTATGTTTGTTGTGTGTGTGCATAATATATACACACACAAACAAAATACACATCATAATATATATGTACAATTTCACGGTTTTGGGTGTTGGGAGCACGATGGCAGTTTTGGTCAGCAAGACGTCTGCATGTCAAGCTTGGAATTCTGGGAAAGTTGTGGAAACATACAGGCTTATTCACTGAAGTGAGAACTGCCGGGAATTCTAATGTAAGCCATTACAGACAAATTAAGATAAATCCTCCAAGTCAATTCTTTTTCCAGTTTGGCTATTTTGACCTTTGTCTTTGGAATTCCCAGCAATTCTCACTTGAGCGAATAAACCTGATTTCTTGCAATTTATGTGTCCAAGGCGGACTTCCCAAAGCCCAGTGTGCGATAAGCAGATGAAGCAGAACAGAAATATTATATCTGTGTGTAATTGTATTTCTGTGTTTATATATACATGTACTCCCACACATATAAATCTCTCTCTGCCTCTTATACATTCACACGAAAACAAAATCCAGTGAGTGCTCTCTTTTTTCATGTATATTTAAACTATTTGCGCACCATGGTATATGCCATACCAGTTTAGATGCAGGACCCCGGCCATTCTCATTCTGTCCATCTGGACAAGACGCTTTAGCTGCAGCCATTTTCTTCTGTGAGAAGAGTAAGAAGGGGCTAAGCCTCAGCGATGGATTCGGGTGTTTTGCCCTCCATTTTTTGATGGTCTGACTATGAAGATTTGCTTGCTCAGAATTCATCTTGGACAGCACTTCATCCAGCCGTTTAGACTTCTTAATGACCTGCGTATGGGGGGTAAGGGGTAGAAATATAAATATTTTATGATTTGCAATAGAAGCAGCAGGTGTCTTATGGGTTAGACAAACATGTAATGGGTCACCAAGCTTAAAATAACAGAAAACTATCTATTACACGTCGTTTAATTCAATGGAAAGTTATTTTTATATTGAACTTAAAATTGTGGAAAATTTTTTTACAATTTTAACGTGTATACAGTTTTTTCCAATTCCAGAAATTAAAGTACATAAAATAGGACAACTACTTCTGTGTGGTTTACTCAGTGGGTTATATCAATTACAGAAAAAAATTCATAACAATACTAGCTCTGCTTTGAACACACTGAGAGCCTTAAAAGGCCCCTTTGGGCACCATAACAACTTAATCACAATAAAGCTGGTATAGTGCGAGGAGGTCCCAACCTCCTTTTACTTCCTCTCAATGTCCGAGGCTTCACTCAGGAAGCCTCTGATTGGGTGCCACTGACGGGCTGAGAGAATCATCCGATGCTCTCAGCCTATCAGTAACTCCCCACTGACAAGAGAGTGAAAAAGACATGGCGCTCATTACCCGCGAGCACCATGACAACTTCATCGTTATGTGTTACAGTGCCCAGAACGCTCCTTTGAATACATTTTAAGTCCATTAAACAGATATTAACGTTAAAAGGATCCTCCAGGCACACTTTCAGCACCAACACAACATAAGTGTATTTGATCGTTTTATTTGTTTTGTAATAAAACATGCAACAGTTGCTAGCTGGATCCCACAATAACACAGTGGTTGATATGAATGTTTCCAAAACAGTGACCATCATGTGACAAAGTAGATTATACAGTTTAGAGATTACACAGTTCGATCAGGAATACAGAGCAAAATGTTATACTTTAACATCTGTCCCTGTCAGATACAACGGATTTTAAAAGCTGTAACGAATATCGACCCCTGAAACTCAAAAAGGACCAATCTCTAAAAATTGTTCAAAGGTTACTTCGGTTGATGGGTTTGCCAGCAAGAAGCGCAAACATCATAAAAAGATTAGTTTCTATCTGTGAGTCACCGTGCTGCACATATAATCAAGGAACATACGTCACAAAACACACAAAATAAAAAAAGCTTTTATTTTTATGTAAATAACCAATAGCCAGCATGTCTGCCACCCTACCCCCCCCCCACACAAGATATACACACACACACAAACACAATATACAAACCTCACAGAGCTGTGCAACACAGCCGTTGTGCATGGCAATATATGTATACAAACATGTACCCACGGGTGTAGGTCACATCGACAATATGCTTCCCTAAAGTGAAGTTAACCAAATGACCACCGTAGAGCGCTTTGACTGAGCTCTATCTTGGAAGCCCCTGGAGCATCCACTCACTGGGAGATACGGACAGAGGGGCAAGCAGTACATGTGGAGATAATCTGGCGCGTAATAAGCACGTTTCAAGCTGTATGAATAACGTCTGTATGTTGGCACACTGTTTGATGTTTTATGCACTATTTTGGCTCGATAAAGTCTTCCACCATTGCAGTCCTTTTGCGCTTAAATTCCAGTTGTTTCATCTATCGAGCATGCATTTTTAACTCGAGATTCGTGGACATGCTTTGTGTTAAGAGACAGATGCAGTGTTTTCGTCATGCTTGGCTACCTCAAAACAAAGACATGGCTTTAGTAAATATATTGAGCATTTATTGTCAATCTCCCGTTCTGTTCATGGGCTGCTAGTGTAATCTAGTCGAAAATGCCATTCATTTACGCTATAGTTTTCGTACTAAATCCCAATTTATTTTTATTTAGTAATCGCATTGTTTTCATTAAAAAAAAAAAAAAAAAATGGTTGTGGAGAAAAAACTGTGATGAAAGTTTTACACAAAATAGATGTGTCCTTAACAACAGCCTCCATGACCAATTCTGCTTTAAAAGGAAACAATCTGCACATACAGCGTTTCTGCTTGAAATCCACGGCACACGTAACAGACAGCCCGGAACAAATATCAATTTTGAGCAAAAATCTAGTCTTGTCAGCACATATTGCGTGCAGGTGACAGACGTCAGGCAGGAAGGGCGCCTGCAAGAGGAAGTCTTGATCTCTCCTCCTTCCTACTCTATGTGTGCTCCCTCCCAGATTCCCTGCATTTAGAGCTATTCTTTAAATAATCCCCTTCTACTCACCTTCTCTCTGTCCCTCCCCACTTCCTCCCACCCCTCCCAGTGCTCAGAGACTTGAGAATGATACAATCAAATGCTTCACTGTGAGAAGCATTTAGTTGGACCATGGAGAGGGAAAAAATAATGATGTGTGACAGACAGGGTGTGGAAGGACCTCGCCCAGCGCTGGATCAAAAGTACGTTTTATCGTTATGTTTCATATAAAAAAATTTTTTTTTTAAATAAAAAGAGGTGGACATGCTAATAGTGCCCAATCGGTTATACGAAATTAAAATATATTCATGATAGAAAAGGGTCTCTTGGACCCTTTAATAGCATGAAGTGTTAGAGTAAAGACACCGTACTTTCATTATATCTAAATGATGTGAAAGTACATGGTCTGGACAATACTATGTCATATGTCAAAAGGACACACATCCAGGATAACCCGAGATGTACAAAGTCACATGATGGAACCGAGAACCTTTACTTACAATATACTATCCAAGATATTACACAAAAACAAATATATTAAACCATCAAAGAGCGGTTTGTTCACAAGGTGTGAATTTTATAAGGACAGGAAGCACAATACAAATTTTACAGCAATGTCTCATAGCACATGATTAAACTTTTACCTATTGTCTTATTGACACCAAAAGCACAACATGTTGTTGCTCAAGACTTTCTGAAGTGTAATTAACCCCTTAATGACCAGACCTCTCTTCAATTTTTTTACCGTTAAGGACCAGGGCTGTTTTTACATTTCTGCGGTGTTTGTGTTTAACTGTAATTTTCCTCTTACTCATTTACTGTACCCACACATATTATATACCTATTTTCTCGCCATTGAATGGTCTTTTTAAAGATACCATTGTTTTCATCTTATCATATAATGTACTAAAATATAATGAAAAAATTTAAACACTTTTTCTAACTTTGTTCTGTTACGCATCTACAACCGCCAAAAAAAAACACCCGTGCTAAATGGTTTCTAAATTTTGTCCTGAGTTTAGAAATGCCCAATGTTAATATATTTTTAGCTTTTTTTTTTTTTGCAAGTCATAGGGCTATAAGTACAAGTAGCACTTTGCTATTTCCAAACCATTTTTTTTTTTTTTTTAAATAATCAGTTACATTGTAACACTGATATCTATCAGGAATCCCTGATTAACCCTTCACATGTATATATATTTTTTAAAAGAAGACATCCTAAGGTATTAAACTTGGGGTATTTTGACTCTATTCATACAACCATTTTACCACCAATCTATGCCAAATTAAAAAAAAATTAAAAATAATAATTGGTGATTTTTTGACACACATAGCAATTTAAAAATACATGTACGGAGAACTTTAAGGGCTGGTGCCAAAGAACACCCCAATATGTTTTCAGCAACATCTCCTGAGTACAGTGATACCACCCATGTATAGGTGTGTCTGGTTCTCTGAGGGCTAAAATGGGTGCGCATTCCACTTTACCAACTTGGAATTTTCACAGCTGGTCATCATGCACCCATGTCCTATTTGGGACATTTTTGAAGCCGGCCAATGTAATTTACCCCCCCATCAAACCATATAATTTTTTTTTAAAGTAGACAACCCACGGTATTCAAAATGGGGTATGTCCACTCTTTTTTAGTAGCGAAAATGCCGGCTTGCCCAATCAGCATCTCCTCATAGAGATGCATTGAATCAATGCATCTCTATGAAGAATGTTCACTCATTGTGCATCACTGCCGCCCCAGGAAGTACCTTCAGTGACCATCTGAGGAGTTGCCACTGGAGGTGTCCCTAGGGAACAATGTAAATGCTGCCTTTTCTCTGAAGACAGTGAAAATGCCTGCTGGGAATGACTATACTCACCAGAACAACTTCATTAACTTATCTTTAACTTATCTCTCCTGCAGCAAATTCCCTTAATCATCCAACAACAACGCTGACCCCAATCCATTAGTGACAGAGAAAGCACAGCCAATCCTTGGTCTATCAGTGAAATGAACGGTAGAATTATGGGATACACACACACACACACACATATATATTATATGACACTGCAATTATTTCCTATTAATGTGACTGTGACCCAGCTGGATGAATGGAAGGAAGAAACACTAACTCACAAATGGGTGGGAGTTTAATTCAAGTTAACAAAGCCTAAAGTTTCATGTCTTACCTCATAGTTATCTGCAATGAAGGGGAATTGTTTCGGCTGCAGAAACTGAGTCTTCGGGACGTCCAGGCCATCCTCACCGTACAGGAATTGGATAATGCTGCCATCGCTGTCCCGCACAGTCAGATCATACTGAACCACCAGACCTTCCAGGTGTTTGATCACACACCTGCACGAAAGGGTCGGGTCATTAGAGAGCACACATCGGGAAAGGTTGATATGGGATACGTAAAATATTAAAGTTGCCAGCAGTACCAAAATTAAAAAACAGAGGTGTGTCGCTAGAACAACGTGAAGCCCCACCATGTTTTCACCACCACCCTTTATACCTGCAAGGTGATCAGGGTCTCCCAGGAAGGAACGCCCCAATAGTTTTAGTTTAAAGAGTGCAGGTTAGCCTTTTTTTCCAATGCTCATGGGAGAGTGGATAACAGTCATAGATGTCACATTATGTGCAACACATGCTAACCAAGTCCTGGGCACTAAAGCACCCCCACCTACTCCATCAATACCATGTGGTCTAGCAAGAACAAAATAATTATGTGACTGAAGCAGCACAGATCTCTTTCCAGATCTCGATTACAAACAGCAAGAATCAGAGAACGAGATTAATAATAATATTCTAAACTCTGGAAAGGAGAAAGGACAAGAGACCGGTGCAAGGGTTGGGGAGAAAAAATGAATACACAAGATCCAAGTGGTCTTGTTCCATGGCAATAATAGAGTAAAATCCGAACTAATAGAATGAGTAAGTGGAGAAGCAATGCCAACCTTTGGAGATACCCAGAGCGACTGGTTTTCACAGCAGTGTCAACCAAACCTTCCCTCCCAGCCATGCAATGGAAGAAGAATTCCTAGGGGGAAACAATAAATTAATAATCATTCAATAGCGAGGAATCAGTCAATGCCAGTTATTGGGAAAATTGGGAATAAAAGGGCATTATTAGCCAGATCATTAGTATACTGCTCATTTATATAGAAAAAGAAACATTGTTTTGGTTTTTATTGATAAGAAAGGAAAAAAAAAAAAACACAAACACAAAACAAATAAAACAACCAACCACCCCCCTTCCCACCCACCCCCAAAAAAAAAAATGCATGTTACCCAATAATGGGTCAATGTCTAGCTTTTCTTCAACGACAAAGGAGCTGCGAAAATAACACGTATCATCCTCATGCACAAACCTCTTTTTAATATTGGTCTTCAGCAAGAAGTACATTTATTTAAGAAGATGGTTTCTACATAAAATCACATACATATTACAGCTATGTATATTACACATACAACATATGAATCTTGGCTTTATTTTCTCCAATGTGGACTCTGTGCTCCAAGGGCATCATTCCCTTGTTCTGCCATGGGGTACAAAGGCAGCGTATTACCCTTATTACCCAGCTCAATGGTATATTGCCTGTTATCCAACTGGTTGGCATACCATTGGTTACCCCATGAATGGTAGGTTACCATTACATCATTGATCTGGGTAATATCACCCTTAGTAAATGGTATTAATGAATGTTTAATGAATGTTTTAAAAAGCTCCACTAAATTGTCAGATAGAAATATACCCCTGCAAATGAGCCAAATGATCTGCGTGAATATATAAATCACAGCACACTGTACATCCTTGCAGGTCAGAAATTGGCCGCTGGTGTTTTACTCCCATATTCAACCAGGCAAAGTAGTGAGCCTTCTGCTCTGTTATGGGAGCCCAACTCTGCGAACCACTGCCAGAAACATGGTGTGTTCGCAAGTGATGTAAATTTCGGAACGGTTATTTTCCACCATAATCCTAAATACAAAAAAAAAAATATATATATATATATCTAAATGAATTACTTACATAAGGTTTAATGCCAGTGAGAAATCTGCCAGTCACAAAACCCCCAGACCTTGGCGTGAAGTCATACGGCTGAAAGCACGGTAAAGATTTCCCAGAAGGCATCAATGGCGGGCGCCGACCTTCCAACTCAATCTGACCCAGCAAACACGAAATCTACAGAGAACAAGGCATCGTGGTAATGCAGGGACTCTTTAAACATGAAAGCGCTTTAGGATATTGAATGCGTTATTTATCTCATTTCTGCAGTTGCTATGGACCATATCTCCCATGATGCTCTTTCAGCCATAATACAAAGAATGATGGGAGATGTAGTCCATAACATCAGTAGCACTGAAGGTTGCCTTCTCTTTGTCTAGATTCTTTAAAGGTATGTTAAACACCAGTTTCTAAGGTGATCTGTGCATCAATGAAACCACTACAGAAATACACTATGTCAATAGGCCAGCGCCACTAGAGAGCTATGTACCAACTGAGACACCTCTCCAGAGCGCCACCACCTGGCCATCAGCTGTAATCACTCGAGTGGTGGAAGAGACAGCTGAGTCTTGCAATGTGTATAAATAGTGAAGTAGAAAGTGATTGCGTTATGTGAATAATGGAAGAAGGACAAAATTATATAAATAATAAAAAAAATTATCAAAAAATCTGTAGAATAATATATGAAAAAGGATTATTTATCAAAAAGATCTGCATCAGGCCAGCTAAGCCTTTACCTGCCACTGCCAACACCTTCTGGGTGGATATAGTAAAGGATCGTACCTGCATAGTGTTCACAGTTGATCCCTTAGCGCCTGACTGGACCATCAGCTGAAGGTTGTTTTCTGGAAAGGGCCGGTGGAGGCCGAGAGGCATACAGACCTAAAAATATAATGAAAGCATCTCACAAATTGGGGAAACGAATCACCGCTCTGGACACCCATCAGTATTAAGAGACCTTAATTCAGACTTATAAGGGCATGGGGGTTTGTACCAGTACATATAATGTATATATATATATAGCCAAAATACCAGAGTATTACCGTATGCAATGATACCTTTTTTATATTGGACTAACATAATATTTCAAAGACAAGCTTTCGAGAGTTTTCCTCTCTTCCTCAGGTCTGAAGCAATACTGATCTGATAGAGTTTAACACTTAAAACAGCTAAAGTTTTAAGTTGTTTAACCCCTTAAGGACACATGACATGTGTGACATGTCATGATTCCCTTTTATTCCAGAAGTTTGGTCCTTAAGGGGTTAAAGTATAAAAATCAGCTAACAATCTATAGGAAAGAAAGACCAATGCTGTCCAAATCAGGTGGCAACTTCCATCATCTCGATGAAGCAGCTTGGAGGGAAGGGGCCGGGGGGATGGAAAGTACAAATAAACTGACCTTGTTGATTTCATTGCTGAACTTGTTGACTTCTTCTTTGAATTTCAGGTCCACCATGTTAAAATCCCTCTGGTCCTTGTTGAGCTGGGCATCTTGCCATTTTCCTTGGGCCTCCTCATCAGTGCAACTCTGAGACAGATTGAATGCAGCTCGGACAGCCTACCGATACAATAGGGCAGTTTATCTCAACGAGAGAACAGTATAGAACACATCATTGCAGCAACAGAACTAGGGGATGTAGAAGGGATACTATAACAGAACACCAAAAACGAATGGCACTTACACGCCCACCACAGTGTGTAGACTTTTCCACCATCTTCTGTCTTTTAATGTTGGCGTAGGGACGGACCAAAATGTCTTCCACTCCTACAAACCAATAACAATATCTGTGTAAAGTTCATGATCAAAAGAAAAGGAACTGAGGTAACTTCACCCAATGCCACATCTAATATGAGAACGAAGAAAACCTTGGGAAATTTGCAGGAGCAGAACAAAAGCCCATTGGCCAAGACTTCACGACAAATTCATACAACTTCGAAACGAGGTAAAACAGGAACGCATAACAAAATTTGATAAATCCGTACAAATATATTTATCAAGCACTGAAAGGCTGAAACAGAGCCAGCATACAGTAGGATAATAATATAGTGCATTATTTTTGTCCAGATGACCTTACTAAACATAGAAAGAAAAAAAATTGTGTTGGACCAGATTCAATGAAGAAAAAAAAAAAAATTAAAGCTAGGCAAATGTTGCCAAGAGGAGTACAATGGATTCAAACTCACCTGTCATAAACCCCATGGCAGGTAAAGGCGAACCTTTTATTCCTTGGACAACAGTGCCATCTGCAGACTGAACTGCATCATGTCAGACTGCACACTTTCAGAGTTGTTTCAGAGTTAATTCGAAGTGAATTTCAAATTTAAGGCCAGATGAGCCAAACTGAAAGCACAGCGGACTTAGAGAATGTTTTCACTTTGACCGTAGATTTAAAATTCACTTCGAATTCTGTCTTCAGTAAATAGACCTGTTTGTGATGACTGTACATGCTCTCAGGATATGGTCTGCTGGTATTGTCATCATCGTTTTGGGAAAGTTAATTGACAGCAATAGCTCCCTTACCAAGAAGGTGATATCTAATACCTCGTTACATGCATGTTGGCATTGCTTTTTCCCGTACTATATTTCATGCACTCCTCTCAATACTCACATGTTTATCATATAAGTTTTATGTTTGGAGAGCCATTGTCATTCGCTGTTAATGAACTATATGCAAAGTAACGGAGGTTTAATCCGCAGACCCAGCATGTAGCGTCGCTGTGATACAGTGTTTTGGAGTACTGAGTAAAACCAATTAGCCTAGTGCTAGTGTTCGAACACTTCCTGCATGCACCATACTTTATACTTGCATATTGCCACAAGCACAGTTCCCCAATAACAATAGTTTAAGACTCAGAAACCCAAAAGCAAATAACAAAAACTTCTATGATTAAAAAAAAATAAAAAAAAATAAGACTTTATTTTTCACAAGAATGTGGTAGTGAAATCAGAACTGTAGAGATGGATGTGCACTCTTAACACACACATATTAGAGTCCGTTATCCCCTTAATGTCTGCATAGTAAGGTTGGAATTGAAGCCCTGCTTTTTTAAATTTTTTTTTTTTTTTATAAAATTCTTTATTTTTGTGTAACGAGTAACATAGAAAATGGTTACAAAGCCTTACAATATTGTCATAACACATCGTAGGCATAACACATAACATAAGTGTGGACTACATAGTACGTGTGCTTGTTGTAACCTGCTTGCTGGGCCCGTTGGGTCCCGTGGTCCTAAGAAGTCACGGATTTTTTTCTTTTTTGGCAAGTTGAATATGTGGTCGCTGGGAATTAACAGAAGCCATGATGTGTGTGCTACATCTTACATTGTGAAAGTGCTCTCGGCTCAATTATGGAGTTACTGCTCATCGGAAGAAGCCCTGCTTTTTTTAAAGCAGTGACACTTACAGTTTTGAAATAGGTTTCTTAAAGAAGAAATTGTTATGATAGCATAGCCCATCATTGGTCCTTAAAGGGTAAAAAACCCATCGTTCATTTTTGTACACATAACCGATTCAGGGAGCCATGTCCTTACCCATGGTAAAGCCTCTGTATAGTTGCAGATAAGCTGTGAATAGTCGAGCAAGGCACGTCAGCAGCTTCCCACTAGTCTCCCCACCGTACAGCTCGTAGCAGCAATGAACGAGGCCGAAGGATGAGCTTCCATAGTGAGCTTTGTCCAGGACACCACACAGGAGCTCTCCGTTCCGGATGATAACCTGATTCAGGACAGTTTGGGGACAAGAGATTAAAATTAGCCCTTTCTAACTAGAACGGAAGGTACGAGCAGGAGTGGTCAAGCACTAAAGCAGGACTTTAAAATGTTAGCGGTCAATAGGTGTTTGATAACTACAAATTTTACAATATATTAAGATGGCCCATGGGGCCCGAGACTCGAACACATTTTATTTTAATACAGGTTAAAAGGGCTGAAAAACATTTAAAGTAGAATTGTTACTTCCCAGATTTGTATTATTTGTTTGGTTTTTTTAACTTAAAAAAAATAAAAAATAAAATAAAATCTGACTGTCTTGTCACACCTAAGGAACAAGTGTAGATGACTCAGCCCTACCTCTACTTCAATTCCACCCAGTAAGTGCGTCAACACTTTTTAACAGGGTGATGGACTGGGGAAGGATCACTATCTGAAAAGTGACAGCTCCTCTTACTGGTTGTTTAAAAGCAGGGGATTCAGGGTGAGCTAATCTCAGATGAATAAATAAAACAATGATGGGTGTAACCCATTACCTGAGACTCGCACATGGAATCCGACTCGAATCCTGGAGTGGCTCTAGGAGGGTCCTTCACCCAGGCTTTCCCAGGAATCTTGGCTTTTCCTGTCAAGTTGAGTGGGATGTGGTGCTCGGGTATTACATTGATTAGTAAGGTCGAGACTACCTGAAAACATAACCAAGACAGAATTACGGCAAAATACAAGAAATCAGTCATTAAGTACCCTATTTCTCTATTTCTAAAGCCGAGATTTACACAGGCAGCAAATAAGCAGCCGACGAGGAAAAGGCCAGTGGCATGCTGGGAAGTACTGCTCATCTCTTCTTAGGAGAGCTATTGACCCATTCTGATTAGGAGTTGCTGGGTCTCCGTCTAAAGTATTGGAAGCAGAGAACAGTACCTGGAAGTTAAAGAGTTCTAAAACTGAATGACTACTTACAATGTGTGGGAGAAAGAGGGCAAGCTCCGTGCTTATATTGCTTAGAGTGTTCCTTTAAATTAACTCATAAGACTAACTTTTTAAATGCTTGCTAATTATACTCCTGCAGTAAAAGTGGCTGCACAGCCTATGTCTCTTACCCAGAGGTTCTCTACCTGACAGAAACTATTATTCTGTAAAATACGACCGAACGACAGAGGCAGCATTCAATTCTGGTTCTAGCAAACAATCTACTTCCGTTTTGTGACTTCTCCATGTTCAGATGAGAATGGCTTTTGGTAACATTTTATTTACTTCAAATCGCAGGGTCTGCAGAGATTTAAAAATGGAATTCTCTAGGCATCCATTCAGTTTGCTGAAGGGATCGTTGCAAAATGACACAGTTTACACTGCTGTATGTGACGTCATGGCGGTTGTTGTAGTTTAGCTGAATGACACTTCTAAGAAGCCATGTCTGTAAAGCACTATTTATGGAGTTTCTGCCAGTCATTTTCCTATCCTCAGGTTTTTCTTGAAACTTCTATTTTTTCAATTGAACCCCTTTTTTTCCTTCATGATATTAAGCAGTTATTTGGCTCTCTTTGCATATTCTTACTACGAACTCTGAGAACACAGAGAACGCTCTGCTTTGTGTGCCAAACTAACCAGTGGGATATATTTCTTACAGTCTGACATAACAGAAATAAGAGAACCCGGCCTAAGAGTTGTAGTTTGGCTTTTTGATACACTTCTATGCAAAATGCTTAGTAAGCTGGCCTGTGATCTTACAATGTAGAAAAGATAAGATAAAAAGATAAGAGTTGTGTCAATGAGGAATCTGACATTTAGGGTTGTAGATTAAGAATGATCAATGAATGAATTTGTGAGAAAATGACAGTCATTTAAAGAAGTTAAATTAACACTGAACACTAAATTACACTTTATCTCCACATTTATGAGACATTTAGATATCACAATATACAGTAGAAATCTCACTGTAACATGCCAGCAGTTTAGTGCTATGGATTGAGCGTTATGCAAGTAGGGACACGTCATGAGACATTTATATTACTTTTAATTTTAAAACCACAAAGCGTTCCAAAGTGCAATACAAAGGGTAAATTAAAGACAGACAGGAGTTTAAGACAGTACAACATTTGTTTTAAATGTCTATTATACTCCTTATACAGCGCTGCAGACTAGGTTGGTGCTCTGTACATAATATTCTTTAGATACCTGCTTTCCTGTCCAAAGAGGATACGGTTTTAGGATTGCTGGCGGCAGAGTAATCACCCGTCCTTTCTTATCAGTCAATCCTCGATATACCAGCTCCATGTATTGCTCTCTGGTGAAGAAACAGCCGCGGATGGTCATGCTGGTACCAGACACCATGTGATCTTGGATCAATCCTGCTAAGGGCGTTCCATCCTACCACAGAAGGGAATACAAAGTAAACATATAGGGAAGAAAATGCCTTAGAAGAAGTAAAAAAAAATGCAGAAATGCTAACTTCAACCAATGGATGGGTGCCATGTTACCATGTAAACATTAGCTAAGTGATGAGCAAGGAAAGGTGGAGGCCATTTTGAACCTCATAAAGAGCATTATACTAACTGTGGAAGTAAATGGGCTAAAGAATATTATTGGAAAGTAGCAAATAGCATAAATAACTTGGTTCCTGGATGTTCCTGGAGACACCATTGTAAGCAAGTTTTAGGTCGGTGACAAGAACCTGTGTATTGTGAATTACTTGAACCAATAGGAGGCCACCATTTCACCATGTAAACAGGAGCTTAGCCTTGAGCAAGGAAAGTGGAGGCCATTTTGAACCACACAGTGAACATTATACTAACTGTAAAAGCTAATGGACTAATGATTGGGGAGAAGCAATTGAAGTGCTAATATTAAATACCTTATTTATACATATTACAGTACCAGATTAACAGACAATACAATATTCTCATATCCATCTAGATTTACAGATTTTCTTTTTAATAACATTTAAAGTAAAAAATTTTGGAGCTATTAATGTTCCACTAAGGAGTGTACATAAAAATGAAAAGCGGTCTTATACATTTTTGGAAGATGAAGGATTATTTTATTATTTGTCCTCAACTGTGTCTAACGGAGAGACAATCTGCATAATTTAACCATAAATAGTTAAGCTACAATATTCTTGACATCAACTTAAGTTATGTTTCTTTTAAAAAAATTAAGTTGGTTCTCAACCTGATATTAATAACGGTTTATGGAATAAACCCTGTTGTGTTTATTTCATAGGACAAAAAGCATTGTAAAAAAACCCACCTATGCTAGTCTCTGGGTACCTAGAAAAAGGCAAAACTCAACATAACAAAACACACAACACAGATGGGCTTAACCTTTTTTTTTTTAAAAACTCCAAAATGGTGTAAAAATACTGCAGATAAACTGTGGGCAAATACCTTTGGCACCAAGTATTGCTCATCGGTACAGGCGATTGTGTACGCTTCGGCGCGCCCCAGTTCACCCTGAGGAAAGTGAGCGTTCATTTCATCTCCATCAAAGTCAGCGTTGTACGCCTTACAGTTGGCGTAGTGCAGCCTTAACACCTTCTCCCCAGGCAGGATGCGGGCTTTGTGAGCTTGGATAGATGGTCTGTGCAAGGTAGGTTGCCGATTCAACAGCAGCACGTCCCCATTTCTAACATGACGACATACCTGTGGCCATAAGGAGAAAGAAGAAAGTCAGACAAGAAGACAATACCTATTAGAAGCTCTAAAATGCAGAATGAGCATTAACGATATTGTTGTATAAGCTAATAGCAGCCCCGATGCATCTGCTATCAGCTTAGCGAAAGCTCCATTTACAGTTTTGTGTGTAAAATCGCATAGGACAACCAGGACTCTGGCTCCTTCTCAGTTTTTATTAGACAGAATTCTGACAGTTACTCTAAGAATGGTGAGCATCTTATCAAATATCTCTTGGAATGTAGCCAGCTTTCTGAATGAGCATCCTGTTTTCAATTAAGAGCTAAAACTCCTGCCAGTGCTGGGTATGAGTTTCCAAGAGCCAATATTTCAAGAGTTATATTCATTTGCTAGATTTATGGATTGGAAACAGGACATATAATAGACGTTTGATTTCATAATACAAAACATAATTTAACCTGCCCTGACGAGCCACAGTGCTGCTTAAATGGTAAATTGGTTTAAAAAAAAGAAAACGTGGGGAGTTTGTTAATTTAATGGCAAGCTGCAGAAAACTGAAATTTCAAATAGCAAAATTTAGGTAAAAAAAAAAAAAAAGCCAAGTTGTCACTAAAGAATTTTTTCTAAAGTTTTTTTGGGCCAAATGAGCCATTTAAGCAGAAACGTGATTTATTTTTCAATTCGCCATAATTCACTGTTTAGTGCCATCAGCATGAAAGCGGGCACTTTGGATACCCACTTACATTACAGAAGGTTTACTGCAATGTGGCCCGTATGGTGTAACGGAGTCCCTATGTTTGTTGCTAGGATGGAATTTTGTAGGATTTAAAACGATATAATTTGTGCGTGCTGCTCCTTAATCTGTATTTTGTATATATTTTGGTCTTTATGGCAGAACCATGACTTAGAAATGCCTGTTCCTCGTGTGCGCCCAATTCCCTCTTTTTCCCCACTCTCCACGTGGGCTGCGCACTCTAGATTTATCCTTTCTAACAGACAGATAAAGGTCGGAGCGCCAGATTCCTATTCTGGGTTGCAATGTGTGGCTTGTGATGGTACTTATGGCGTCCAGTCCAATAATAAAGGGGTGAACTCATTAACAGCTCATTATTAGAATATTAGAAAAAATATCAAAGACTTCTCCAATTATACAATACACTCTCACAGAAAACCACACGAACGCTCATGGAAAACCCCTTTTAACCCTAATGTTTTCCCTTTAATCATTTTACATTTTGCAGCGGTACAGACTTGATATTTACATATAACTATTGCAGAAATGTGCTCTTTTCGCTTCTAAGCCTATACAGTAGGAAGTCAGATGCTTACAATTTTAGCTGCCATTTTCTGCGTGCCAGTGGAAGGCGTGAGGAGCTGCTTAGCTATGGCCTCCCTTTGGCTGAGGTTTGTAGGATTTAGAATTGTACGAGTGCCGTCCTCATTAATCACCATGGAGGCTCCTGGATGCACATTGGGCCCATTGATCACAAACTGCCGCAATTCATGCACATTCCACGGAGTGACGGGCTGGGGATAAGTCAGCTTCGTCGCAAATACCTGGAAAAACGTGAGGAAAAAAAAATATTAGCATTAGTTAAGAAGAATTAAAAATGTATACTGATTGGAAATATCAAAGGCTACAAACACTGCAGGTTTATGATAGCAACCAAAACAGATGATTTCTGTTTAACATTCCATCCTTATTCCGTTCTTAAAAAAAAATAAAAAAAAACTTTTGAAAAGACGTAAAAAAAAACTATTCCTGCAGCTGCTGCAAATCTAAAAGTCAAGAAGCTAAAGTGCACAATGAGCATGTAAATGTTGGCTGCTCTAAGTTTACAGATAGCCTTTTTTATTTTTAAAGGGACACTATACTCACCAGAACAACAACAGCTTATTGTATTTTTGTTCTGGTGAGTAGAATCATTACTTTCAGGCTTTTTGCTGTAAACACTGTCTTTTCAGAGAAAATGCAGTGTTTACATTACAGCCTAGGGTTACCTACACTGTTCACTCCTAGAGATGCTTCCTGGGGCAGTGCTACACAGAACGTTCCTCATAGAGATGCACTGATTCAATGTATCTCTAGGAGGAGATGCGGATTGGCCAGGGCTGTGATTTGGTTTGTGCTGGCTCTGTCCTTGATCTGCCTCATTGACAGTCTCAGCCAATCCTATGCTTTCCTATGGGAAAATATTGTGATTGGCACAGAACAACACTTTTGATGATTTTATCCAAGCAGGCAGATCAGGGGCAGAGTCAGCAGAAGCAGACTGGAATAAAAGTAAAATTTTACTATATTTAGGGAAGCAAAGGGGGGGAGAGGGGTGGATGCAGAGGGGCTAGATTGTGTTTTTAACACTATAGGGTTAGTAATACAGGTTTGTGGTTTTGACCCTATAGTATTCCTTTAATTATGTCAAAGCTCATCAACAAACCCCATAGACAGCTGTATTAAAAAAAAAAAAAAATTAAAGAGGGCAAACATTCTTCATATATAAAAGAATCACATGCAACCAGCCTATAGTGCTCAATCATGTTCTATTCTCATTTAGGACCCTAAAACATCTCATTTTAATTACACATAGGAGCACAACACAAAATGTCAAATATTAAAATGTGTAACATTAAATTATTAAAATCTTTCATACAAGGGATGCCAGGTTACTAGCTACAGGGAATATTGATTATTGGCAACTGGGTCATGTCTATATTGTATGTTTCATGTTTCTTTCTATTTTTTCTTTTATTCCTTTAAAAGGTTTACTTCAACCCCTCAATGGCTAACTGTGATTTGAAGTGGTCATGGTGGTAGGAGTCTGGATGTGCAGGATTTGTGCACACCAAGAGTTATTTTTAATTGTGTGCTGGGGGCAAGTTGCACCTTCAGAAAATGCGACATTGGAAGCCTGGAACGCTGTGTATAATTTACATCTGCACTAGCAACAGACGTAAACATCTCTCGTTGCAAGCATTCTTCCCTCCCATGACTACTTAGTGTGTGAATGTATGTATATATACACACACACACACACACACAGACTTATTTTATATACAATCAGAATATCCTTCAGCGGCCTCCTCCTCTTGCCGGCTCATATTGCGCACATCTTCTATGAGCCGACGAAACAATCCAAACGCTGGTTTCTCTATAAGAAGCCTGTGTGATTGCCGGTATCACATCAGAATGTGGTGTGGAAGATCAGAACTACAACTCCCACGATACTTTGTCATTCTAAATGCATTCAGAGCATCATGGGAGCTGTATTTCTACAACATCCGGGGATCTACCTAATGGACAGCCATGCCATAGGGCATTGTCAATCTAAAAAATATATATATTTTACATAAGGTTTGGAGTAACTCTGTAAGTTTTAAGTTTGGCCCTTCTGAAAATATAGATTACTTTTATTTTGCTTATTGGTTTGCAGTTGGGGTTTAATTTTCAATATGGCAACTCACCCGGATAGTATGCCAATTGGTTGTGTATAAAAACGAAGTGTGACCGGAATACCAACATTTTACGTGTTTTACACCACCTGCAGGAGACGCTAACTAATATACGCCAGTCTACGGCAAGATTATACTTCCCAGCCTATGTCCACTATTTGTAAAGAAAGAAACCCGGGCTCTATTCTAGTTGAACTGTTTATAAAAGTATCAATCCACAGTATTAAATGGCATAGACACCTACCATCGGGATTCCAATCTCATTGGTATTAATGTACATGTCGGGACAGATAACTGAACGGGCAGCGTAGTCCACACGTTTGCCCATCATGTGCTTCCGAAACAGGCCATCTTTCTTCTCCAGAATCTGTACAAAGGAAGAGGCAAAGTATAGACATAGATTGAATGGACAGAACTGAAAATCAGGTTTGACTACATTAAATACCTTTATGGCAATCAGCGACATACACAAATATATATCTATATTTCTATCTTAGCACAAAGATATATTTAGAGGAAAAAAAAAGAAGATTTAGAAAACAAAGGAATAAGGAGTAGTTTCAAAACAAAACCACTGGAAGAGACAGAATGGTGTGTTACATGGTTGTAGTTGACTTAAAGCACCGGTCAGTACCCATGTGGCCAGGATTTAAAATTCAAAAATGACATCCAAATATATCTCAAGGACTCCAAAGTCCAAATCATAACCATCTTCTATATATCTGGTTTAGTCAGCTTACTTTTTGTATGTGCTTATGTTAACGTAATAATAGTAGGAAGGGAATAATATTTGTAATAAATAAATTTCAATGATACAGGACAAAATTCTGAAGTAAGTTTATAAACTGATAATGTTAGTTTTTTTTGTAAACTCTACAGCTGCAGTACTCACAGAGTTAGAAGGCTAAGAGGGTGATCCCCTAGTTCTGTGACAAACATTGTAAAGCAATTTGACAAAAGACAGGGTCCCCCAGGCATACGTGGCCCGACCCACTAACATACTGTTCTATCAGAATTTATAATTATATTATATAATAGCAGCCATATCAATTTTGTCCACATTTGCACAGATGTGATAGGCTAAGTGTTTACTTTTAATATGACTGAATAAAACACATTTTTGCTTTACTTTATTGTTAAAAGGATACAATTCTATCTTCACTACCCAAGTAATTCGGAATTCCCAGGAATAACCTCTAAACTAATGAATTACTGACCTGTCGAATTCCAGGATACTTGTCAGTCATCAGCTTGTCCATGTCGCTGTCAAACACAATATTCACATGGCTCTGAAGTCGAACCCAGGCGTTATACAATTTATCAGTGAGGGACTGTCCCGGCAAGGCTGCCAGGAAAGAACGATCGATAAACTCGGTCTCCATCTGTTCCTGAAACAAAACCAAAAATGCCAGAAGTTTCAGAGTCTGTCCCAAAAAGCATTGATAACAACGTTTGCTACTAAAGAGCACAGGAAGCTCCTGTAAAACTAATTACATATTTCACTTAAATGAAAGAGCGCAAATCAATACAGACATGTATGTACTGATCAGTTATCTGGATCTTTAGTGAAAATATCCCACTGATAATTCACTGTTCCAGTATTTAAAGGGACACTCCAGGCACCCAGACCACTTCTGCCCATTGGAGTGGTCTGGGTGCCAACTCCCACTACTCTTAACCCTGCAAGTGTAATTACTGCAGTTTTTTATAAACTGCAATAATTACCTTGCAGGGTTAACTCCACCTCTAGTGGCTGTCTACTACTACTACTACTACTACTACTAGACAGCCACTAGAGGGCACTTGCGGGGTTATAGCACAGAAAACCTGTGCTAGAGCGTCGCTGGACGTCCTCACGCTGTGTGAGGACCTCCAGTGACGCTCATTTTCCCATAGGAAAGCATAGAAAAGCATTTTCAATGGTTTCCTATGGGGAGCTCTAAAGCGCATGCGTGGCAGCATTAAGTCTCCCTGGCCGGTGGGCGGGATCAGTCTCGCCCACCGGCCGACGCAATCACAGGGAGGAGCGGCGGAAGAAGCAGCGACGTGGGACATCGTCGCTGCCTCAGGTAAGTTACTGAAGGGGTTTTCACCCCTTCAGCAACCGGGGATTGGGGGTGGGACGGGGAGGGGACCTGCAGTGCCAGGAAAACGGATTGTTTTCCAGGCACTGGAGTTTCTCTTTAATAATAAAGCTGGGTAGCCAGTTAGAAGAAACAAAACATATAAACAATACAGTTCTAATGTGGTTTATAAATTTGATTTAAGAAAGAGCTGTGAAAGATAAATGTTATCGGTGTTCAACCCATATGTTACGGAATGGTTCTTTTGGTGAAGGGGAGACTTGGGCTAGAGTGTATCTCCTTTGACGTACTCAAACAAAACAGGCAGCTAGTTAAAATCTGGAGCAGAGCGCACCGTTATTCATAGTTGGGATAATATGCACAGCTTTGTGAGAAGAGGGAAAGCTGCATCTAAAAGAACATCAGTCACAGAATTAAGAAAAGCATCAATGAGCTCCCCGGGTTACTAGGTTTAGGTCAAAACCTGCAAGAAGAAGAAGCAAAGACTCACAATATATTTGATACTTACTACCACTACCAGGATATTATTATTTATATAGCGCCAGCATGTTCCATAGCGCTGTACAATGGGTGGACTAACAGACACGTAATTGTAACCAGACAAGTTGGACACACAGGAACAGAGGGGATTGAGGGCCCTGCTCAATGAGCTAACATGCTAGAGGGAGTGGGGTATAGTAACACAAAGTGGAAAAGTAGGGGTAATGAAATAGGCTGCAAGAAAAGTATTCACTGAGGGCTTAGTAGGTTATTTTGGACAGTTGCAGGAGAGGAGTCATGGGGGAGGGGGGGGGAGGGGACAATGAAAACCCGCTAACAGTTAAATTTTTATGCTTTCCTGAAGAAGTGAGTTTTCAAAGATTTTTTGAAGGAGTAGAGAGTGGGTGAAAGTCTAACGGAGAAGGGAAGTGATTTCCAAAGAAAAGGTGCAGCAATGGAGAAGTCTTGGAGGCGAGCATCAGAGGTGGGAGTACGGACAGAGGACAGACGTAGGTCTTCAGCAGAGCGAAGGGGCCTCAACAGGACATATTTGTGTATTAGGGAGGATAGATAGGTTGGAGCAGCATTATGTAGGGACTTGTAAGCAAGCACCAGAATCTTAAATTGAGCCCTATATCTAACAGGAAGCCAATGTAGGGACTGACAGAGGGGGGAAGACGTGGGAGGTGCAGGCTGACAGGAAAATAAGCCTTGCTGCTGCATTTCCTTATAGATTTCAGCGGTGCAATCTGGGAACATGTAAGACCACTGAGAAGGGGATTGCAGTAGTCAAGGCGAGAAACAACAACGGCATGGACTAGATGGGCCAAACGGTTCTTATCTGCCGTCACATTCTATGTTTTTATGAGTTGTAGAATGAGGTTGGAGATTTAGGGCAAGAGATTTGAGATGTGTAAAAGGAGAGTTTGGTGGAGAAATGCTGGAGATCAAGGCGGTGGAGGTTTCTGCGAGATTGGAGAGTTAAGGGTGGTGAAATTTGGGTAAAGGGTATGCAGGTTACAGAGAGCAGAGGATAGGCATTAGGGCAGTTGAGGTTGTTAATTCGGATGTTAAAGTCCCCAAGTATGAGGGAAGGAGTGCTAGAGGAGAGAATGTGGAGTAGCCAGGAAGAAAAGTGTTCAATGAATAGCCTAGGATGACCGGGGGGGGTGACAGATGATGGAAATTCTTAAAGAAGTGGGCTTAAAAAGGTGGACAGTGTGAACTTCAAAGGAAGTAAAGGATAGGACAGGGGCAGGGAGGATAGGTTGAAAGGTACATTGAGAGGAGAGAAGGATACCGACACCATGGGCGTGAGAGAATTGTAGTCCACCGAAACATAAAGAAGCAGGAGTAGTGGTATCAGAGGGGGTCAGCCAGGTCTCTGGGAGTACTAGTAGTGTGAGGAAATTAGAGATGAAGAGGTCGTGTGCGGCTGTTGATTTAATATTGCTACAGATGGAACGTGCGTTCCAGAGTGCACACTGAATGTTGGTAGAGGAGGATAAACTGTAGGATATTAGGATGAGGTTTGTGTGGTTTCTAGTTGTTTTAGTGTGAGCAGACGAGGTGAAGGGCCCTGGGTTGGGAGAGACGTCACCAGCTGATAGACGTAGGAGGAGAGATAGTGACAGGAGGTGTGAATGGGTTTTATATGGGTGGGGTCTAGGATGAGATTCGGTGGGAGCAGGAGAGAAAGAATAGAGAAACAAGTGCAGGGCGTGAGATGAGAGAAGGGGGAGTGTAGCAGAGATGGATAAATGTGGATGTCATTGTGTTGTTGAGGGAAGTGGCTGTAAGGAGATATTTTGATGCTGAGGGAGAGGAGAGAAGAGGAGGAGATAGAGCATTGCTCAGATGAGTAAGTACTTTGAGAAAGCAGAGTGGGCAGAAGTAAGGAGAATGAGGACGGAGTGTTAGGGGTTAATGGAGTGTAGGAGTGTTCTGAATGCAGGTAGTGTTTGTAGCTGTCATTTCTAATTATCTAAAATTGTATGTGAGATTCTATCTATAAATGGAATAAAGAGCTTGGGATGGGATAGGGTGGGCAGACAACTGAGAACTGTTCTGGTTTCCAGCAGGAACCTTTTAACTCTGGAAGACAGAGATGATAGGGTTAAAAAGGGCTGCAATAAAGCTATGGAATGGAGATGCACAGAGGAGGTGAGATTGGTCAAGCAAAACATTTGGGTGGGTATCAATAAAATAAGGGGGGGGGGTGCAGAAATAACAGAGAAAATCTTTAGAGAGAAGCAGATAGGTGAATAACATTTAAGTTAACAAACCAACAATGTTGAGTGGGGCTAGGAACAACTAGCTTCAGCATGCAGGGCAAGACAAAGTAAAATATATATGTATAAATAAACAAGTACACATCCACAACTGTACACACACACACACACACACACAATCTATATATATATAATACAATGCTAAACAAAAATCTGCACACCAGTCAAGCCATAAGCCTTGCTTTTCCCACAGAAATCACAAATCTGCAGTGATGTTACTACCGCAAAGGATTCTGGGTGGACATATGCAAATTAGTTTAACAAAGAATCACATTTTTGCCTCATTCCATTTTAAACATGGATTCATTTGAGTCTGTGTTTGCTGAATACAACAGCTTAAAATACAACTTAGAAAATGATGCAAAGCCAGTGAACCACTCATGGACAGCTGTTTCATTGTTAACGCAACTCATCGGCATGAGGTTGGTTACTGATTTGCTATATATATATATATATATATATTACACACATACACGCCCAGGTATAAGAACTGTTAAAGTATACAATAACTACCATAACCACTACAGGATAAGAATTGTTAAAGTATACTATAACTACCATAACCACTACAGCCTTTTGTAGTGGTTATGTCACCAACAAGCACCTAGTGCCATCTGTGTTCATTAAAGCAGCCTAACACAGACCACAGACAGCTTGGCATATTGACATTACGCGAGTTACACTGCATTAACAATATTAATTCTGTCCCAACTTTGGATATCAAACATTAGCCAAGTGTGTCAGCTGACATGCTCAGCCAATGAATGGCATCCACATTTGGAGGAAATTGAAGTGGTTATGGTGCTTAAGGTCCCCTTTTTAAAATGACCATCACTAGGTCACCAGAGTTGCTGTGACAAAAGCACATGAGCTAATGTTACAGTGCCCTCTAGTGTCAACCAGCGAAATAACAGAATTCCTCGTTAGATCATCTGGAGCTGTAAGCCACATCTATGGTTTCAATTATGTATCTTTACATTTCTAATATAAAATGTCTTATTGGGCAAAACAATCAAATACAATTTGATGACTTTACACTAGTTGAAAAAAAAAAGCAGAAAAAAAAAAAGCTAAAAAGATTCAAACAATGAGCAGTGAATCAGAATGAAGAAATCAGGTTCAAGTTGTGAATTAAATTCTTAGACCTGATAATGCAAATTCAACTATATTTATAAAAAAAATAAAAAATAAATAAATAATAAAAAAAATAATCTTAAAACCTCTGAAAGACATTACTAAAATGTAAAAATAAATTAATTTACAAAAATAGTAGCCATGCCAAAGATAGGTTACTGTGCAGGTCATTCTCAGGTTTATCCTATCCTTTACTTCTTTTGAAGTACACACTGTCCGCATATTTAAGCCCACTCCTTTAAGAATTGCCATCATCTATACCCCGGTCATCAGAGGCTATTCATTGAGCACTTTTCTTCCTGGCTACCCCACTTTCTCTTCTCCAGTACTCCTTCCCTCATACTTGGGGACTTTAACATCCCAATCAAGAACCTCAACTGCCTTGATGCCTCCTGTCTGCTCCCTGTAACCGCCTCCTTTGGCCTCACACAGTGGTCTACTTCAGCAACTCATACAGCAGTAAACACTCTTGACCTCATCTTCACCAATCTCTGTACTACCTCTAATCTCTCCAATGTTCCATTTCCTCTATCGGACCACCATCTGCTGACCTTTGACATCAGAATACCCCATACCCAAATTTACCACCCTCAAAGAAACCTCCACTGCCTTGATCTCCAGCATTTCTCCACCAAACTCTCCTTTTACCCATCTAACTTGCCTTAACTCTGCAACCTCACTCTACAACTCCACTCTCTCCTCTCAACTAGACATCATGGAACCACCTACATTTAAACGCAGCAATCGTTCCCAATTCCAACCCTGGCACATCAAGCTGACCCGATATCTCCAAAAATGTTCCAGAACTGCTGAACGCTGTTGGAGAAAGTCTCACTCTGCACCTGAATTCCTCCACTACAAATTTATGCTGCGCTCCTACACTCTGGCTCTTCCCTCTGCAAAAGTAAATAACTTCAACACCCTCATAAGCACACTGTCCCGCCAACCCAAATGCTTATTTCACACTTTTAATGCTCTCCTTTGCCCTGTTGCTCCCCCCTCCTCCTACCACCCTGTCCACCTCAAACTTTACTACTCACGTCATGATCTCTAACCTCTCTCCCTCCCCTTTCAATACATCCTCCCCCAATTAACACCAGACGCGACTAAGGTGCTGGTCCATGCCATTGTTCTTTCTCACCTTGACTACTGCAACCCTCTTCTCAGTGGTCTTAAATATTCCCAGATTGCACCACTGCAATCTATAATGAATGCGGCGGCGAGTCTCATTTTCTTGTCCGCCTGCACCTTCCACCCCTTCTCCCTCTATCAGTCCCTACATTGGCTTCTAGTTGGATATATGGCTCAAATTAAGATTCTGGTGCTTGCTTACAAGTAGGAATAACGCAAGCATTGATGGGTGATAATATTCACATTAAATGATTACAGAAACTGTGGACATAACCCAGGAAGTAATACTTGGTACAAAAGCTATCGCTACTTAAAGAGACCGTCTATTCTAAATAAAAAGGAACATGCCTAAATAAAATAGTTTATTTGGCAAATTTAGACAATTTCATCACGATCATTTTTGGGTTTTTTTTTGTCACCGACCAAGACACCCAGGGGAGCCTCATTTCAGCAAGGTTTTTATTAAACAGTTCATACAGAGCATGTACCGAAACATTATTCTGGGCTTCTTACCAAAATGGATTCGGTTTCTGTCAGTTCCTGGGTTTTGCCCTGATCCTGGGCTATCACGGCCAGAAGTTTCTGTATCAGTGAGACATCTTTTAGGACCGCCTGCAAATTAACCGTCTGCCCGTTGGTAAACATCTGATCTGCGAGCCGGTTAATGGGACGGTACCTGGCCCAAAAAAGAAATTAATAAATAAAAAGGAGGACCCATCATGCATGTTGTATAGGTCTGTTTTCAATTTACATTTATTTCCAGTACACAATTGCCAGAGAGAGCTCGGAGGAAAAATTTAGGAGAGCTCATATATATTATTTATTAAATACACACAGAATATCTCAGGCTATTACATCTGACAGCTGAAGGGTTAAAATTATTCCAATTCTAGTTTGTAGAAGAATTATGTAAGTGATAAAGATGTGCATTGAGCCGTTTCTAAGTCATGTTTATTAGCCTTCCTTTCAGAGGGGAAGCACACAAAGCATTATAATCTAACAGGGCCTGTAATAACGAATTGCAACGGATATCTTTCACATTACCTTGCAGGAGGAACTACAATAAGGTCCAGAAAAAACATATCTGGAGTAAATATGGATTTCTTTCCGAATCCCATTCCAGAAAATAGGTACTTCAAGAAAAAGCCTTAGAAGAAAAAACAAAAACAAAATGTAAATCAAAACAGCCTGCTAATAGCAAAATGTGTCAGAGGGCAACAAGTACATTTGCACAATCGTGCACGAGTTTAAAAACCCATGTGGAGGTGTGGGGGGAGGGAGAAACACGCAAGAAGACAGTCTTGTTATCCATGACAGAGTTCCTTTTGCGGACATCCAAAAGATAGGCAAAAATTTAATTTACACTTATTTACGCAAAGTGCTTTTTCAATAAAAAAAATAAATAAAACAATAAAAAGTGGCAGTACCAAGCATTGGATATTTGCCTCTCACATGCTTGACAGTAGAAAAACTAGAAAGGGGTTAGGCTTTCTTCAGTTCCTACCCTCCTATATAGGGCAGTTAGGCCACAAACCCCCCAGGATACTTATCAAGTCCCAGGGACACCAAGATATGAAGGAGGGAAATGGTCCAGCCACTTTCCATATGGAAAAATCATTTTAATAAAATGGATTACCTTCATTTTCCCACAAGGCCTCTATGTGCTCCTTGGTGCTGTTGGCAGTTAAATAACCGCGTTTGCTTAATTCTGTCGTATCAAGTACTGAAAGAAAGGAAAGGAAAAAGACAAAAAGATCATCATCTTTGAAGCTGATAAAATCGGATAATTCAGTAGAACAGAATCGGATTTGTGAATAAAGGAGCCGCAGTATGTCTGGTTAGTCAGTAAGAAACTGCGTACCACTGAACCGCTCAGACAATTATGTTACAACATGGATGAAATGGATATTGCTGTCATCTTTCGCAACAGCTGAAAATGGGGCTGTGCTGCTGCCAACATGGGGACCCCTCGGTTTAGTTAAAGTGCAAGAATAGGGGATAGCAAGCACAGCCTAAAGTCACTATAATTAATTACAATATAGTGGTTATGGTAGGCTAGACTGCGACTTTTATTTATAACAATACTTCAAATTGAAATCTACTTAAACTCAACTCTTACCTTAGTTGTAGCTTTTTTTTTTGCCCACTTTAAGATGACTCTTACTACGGCAATGAAATGTCGCAATTTGGTTAGCAATGGGTTACTAGTGAATACAGGGTGTTTCGAAGGAATAGTTTTGATTGAATACTAGAGAACTCTAGTAGAATTAAACAGTTTGTTTACATTTAAATTCTGTGTTTAGCAAATGGGAGTATTTTGGTGACACAAAGGGAAATTTGACTCAGACAGAATGACCATACACTCACCTTCTGGAAGGTCACCTTTCTCCAAGTCATCTTTGGACTTTTTAGTTGGTTTAGCCATTATGATAGTTAACTTGCTGTTGTGTTCTTTTCTCACTACTGACTTTGGAGCCCTACAGACAAAAATAATCTAGATTAAAGCTTTCATTTAATAATGGCAAAATGCATAAAAAGGAAAGAAAATGAAAAAAAAGAGAAAAAAACGCTCAAATACCTCCTACGAGATTGTGGTGTTAACCTAGATCAGGGGTTTCCATAAGGTAGATCCCCAGATGTTGTAGAACTACACCTCCCATGATGCTTTGCATGCCTTTATCATGGAAACTGTAGTTTGAAAGACATCTGGGGATCTGCCTTTTGGGCACCTGCTTCCATCAATTTGAGCAGGTACCATGAAATCAAACGGAAAGTTCATTAAGACTGCTAGATTCTTAGAACTCTGCCCCAGAATTGGCAAACTCTGTGGATGCTCACAGGTAGATCTCCTGATGTAACTGAACTAAACTTCTAATGACACGTATAGACCCTTAAAGCTGGTAATCCAGCATTGAATATATAATTCTAGTAGCGAAGGATCTACATTTGGCCTCCTTTTATTGTATATGTACATTTTAATATGTTTAAAGGAACACTATAGGGTCACGTATTCCTGACCCTATTGTGTTAAAACCACCATATTCCCCCCTCAATATAGTAAAATCTTACTTGGCAGCAGTTACCTCTTCCCCTTGATCTGGCTGCTTGGCTGACTTCATCAGAAGTGATTCACTGAGCCAATCCCAATGCTTCCCCACAGGATTGGCTGAGACTGTTAAGGAGGCAGATCGGGGCAGAGCCAGCACAAGCCAAACACAGCATCTCCTCATTAAATCAATCAATGTATCTCTATGAGGAAAGTTCAGTGTCTCCATGAAGCGGGGGAATGCACTGAATGGCTGTACGGCAGGCACAGTGTGCAGCACTGACCCAGGAAGCACCTCTTGTAGCCATCTGAGGAGTGGCCAGTGGAGTTATCCCTAGGCTGTAATGTAAACACTGCATTTTCTCTGAAAAGACATTGTTTACTGCAAAAACCCAGAACAAATGCAACAAATACACTGGTGTATAGTGTCCCTTTAAGAAGTACAAAAAAAAAAAAGACACTTTGTATTTGTAGAAATTATGACCAACTTTATTCCCATGCGACAAGGAAATCATTCACCCATAAAATTCTATATTTATTTATAAAATATTCTACCAGGATGGATACATTGATATTTCCCTTGTTTTCAACTAAGTCCTGGGTCCACAAAACATGGCATTGTTACAATAGGATACAATATACATACATATATATATATACACACACACACACACATATATATATATATTTAATAGATAACAGGTAATAAATATATTCAACCATAACAGGTGCATTCTGTGCTGAGGTATGTTGCCATAGATCTCTTAAAAGATTTTAGATTGAATGAAGCTTTGACTGTGTCCCTGAGGTTATTCCATAATTGCGGTGCTCTTTAGGAAAATGAGGATCGAGCCACTTTATTTTTGTATTGCGGTATGCTAAATATCGTGCTAGTACTGGATCGGAGGTTATAGGAGGTAGGAACAGCTGGGGAGAGCATTCTACCCAGGTAGGGTGGGAGCTTCCCAGAAATGCTCTTATGCACAAGGCTGGAAAGTTGAAGAAGAGTGCGTTGGGATTCCAGCGACAGCCAGTTTAGCTCTTTTAGCATGTCACAGTGGTGGGTAAAGTTATTACATTCAAGTACGAAGCGGCAGAATGAATTATATAACGTGTTAAAGGACCACTATAGTGCCAGGAAAACATACTCTTTTTCCTGGCACTATAGTGCCCTGAGGGTGCCCCCACCCTCAGGGTCCCTCTCCCGCCCGGCTCTGGAAAGGGGAAAGGGGTGTAACTTACCTTTTTCCAGCGCTGGGCAGGGAGCTCTCCTCCTCCTCTCCGCCCTGACGGCTGGCTGCGTGCGCATTCAGCCGGTCACATAGGAAAGCATTATCAATGCTTTCCTATGGACGCTGGCGTGCTCTCACTGTGATTTTCACAGTGAGAAGCACGCAAGCGCCTCTAGTGGCTGTCAATGAGACAGCCACTAGAGGGAATGGGGGAAGGCTTAACCCATTCTCTGAAACTGCTATGTTTATGAAAAAATGGGTTAACCCTAGCTGGACCTGGCACCCAGACCACTTCATTAAGCTGAAGTGGTCCGGGTGCCTAGAGTGGTCCTTTAAGTTTATTAAGGTGGGTTTGCGGTGTGGATGCATACACGACATCCCCATGATCAATGACTGGCATTAGCATTTGTTGCACTGTTTCCTACAGTATGTACTTTGTCCCTGTGTCCTCTCAGGTCCAAGGAGAAGTTCGGGAGGAACCAAATATATCTGATATACCAGCATTCATAGCAACTACAACAAAAAGTGATTCGTGATTTAGCAAGCACTGACAGAGACTTGTAACTTTGATCAACGCACACCGTAGCTTCTTCTAAAACACTGGTATTTCCAAAAATAGCTTTTAAGGCAAAATATTTCCCAGAACCTTGTACTTTAGCATGTAAGGTATATGAGCATTGATTCCTTTCCCCCCCCCCAGAGAGAGAGAGTTTAAAATGCTATTGTTAGCAAAGATTATGTTATTTCTGCAACAGTTTCAGGACTATATGTACTTAAACGAACCCTCAAAACATAGTTAAAAGGGCTTTATGATTAAAAAGGTTGTCCCCTTAGTTTTACTTTATAAAGTGCTGATTAATGAGAAATGGGAGAGTGCTCACTTCTCACTCATTCCAGACGTGAATGCTTTTCATAAAGAAACAAAGGATTGAAGGGTTCTATATAAGACGCACTATATCACTGCAGCGCAGTGATTGCTGAGCATGTACTGGAGGAGAGCCACATCTGCCAAGGGCTGAGCGCACCTTTCCTTTGCAGGATTAGAAGTAAGACAGACCTAATAGGTCAGGGAAAACAGGACGCCCCCTGGTGAATACTTATATATATATATATACAAAAGAGGTAAAACATAACCTTTAATTGTTGCTGTAATAAAAATACTCTAGCAAAAAGCTTAGAAAGAATATATATAAATGTTTAAAATTGGGAGGATATATGCCTGGAAGGGGATAATAATCCTGAGGGAATCACCTAAAGGATCTCAAGCTGAATAGAGCTGAAAATCCCCCCAACCAGTAAAGTACATCTCTTAGCGATGGTACCTCTAAAACTTGCCTAGATAAAGCGAAACAATTCCTCTATGCTTGCTAGATAGACTCTTATCCAAAAGTCTCTTATACCACTAACTGAAATAAAATCCAATAGGGTAAGAAAGTAGCAACTATATAAATCCTTGTGAACAGATTGTAGCAAGAAATAGTAGAAAAGGTCCATTAACTGTGTGATCATCCACTAGTCTGAATAGTTCCTTAGTGTTACTAGGTAACTAGATAGATACAGTGTGATAAGTATCATAGCAATATTGTACGCCTGTTACTGAGGGATGGAGGAATGGGGGAAAAGAAGGCAGCTATATTCAAGTCTGTAGTACTGGAAGAAGCTATCACATAATAAGCTTAACAGAGTCTTGTAGAAACAGTAGCCCCGTCGCCCATATCCACCCCACCCCTTCTAGTGAATCGTATTGGAGTTCTAGCTAACTGATCATCTAGAGAGACTAAACTAGTCGGCGTCCAGGTAAAGAAATATCCTGCCTGCTACCTAACACGTGTTTCGGCGCTGCTAACGCGCCTTCTTCTGAGGCTAAACAGGTGATCAGAGCATCGGTGGCTCCTTAAATAGCCCTTTACACTCAGTTCATAATGGGGGCGTGTGCAGTGCGTTCGCGCCAAAATTGGCCGAACGTAATCCAGCCCCGCCCCCAATGACAATCCAGCCTCTGATTGGTGAATGTGGGTTGATTGAACAATACCTCCGTTAACCCTGTAGGTGCCAATCTTACGTTGCTGCTGGGTAGCATGCAGCATAGATAATTCTGAGGTATAAGAAACCCATCGCCATATTAGTAATTTATGAGAGGGGTGTACAATCAGTGTAGGACTTAGGAAGGCTTATGAATCCACAGGAGTTCGATAGAATCAATATCATTATCATATTGGAATACTAGGTGGAAGTCCAATTAATAATTGAACATGAATTGCGACCACATAATAAATAAGCCAATTTCTGAAGAGAGATCCTATTGATTAAAGAGTCCTTGCGGAATCCAGTTAATTATTGAGCATGAATTAAGACTAGATAACAAATAAGCCGATCTCTAAGGAGAGATCCTATTAATTATACTATCCTTATATATCCAGAATAGCACATATAGAGCCATTAAGGTTAAATGTCAAAATGGGTGAATAAAGTTATAAACGAGTGTGTATATATAGGGCCAAGTGGATCACCGATGCATAAAACAAAATAAATAAAGAACAAAGAAAAAAGTATATACAGTCTAAATAAATACTATGTACATATATAATACAATTATATTAATATAGTTCCTTAGTGTTACTATTTTTCAATGAAGGGAGTGAAGGTAAACCCCTCATTTAAACCATTGGGGGCCAAAGTTTTGAACCTATAGATCCAGTAACACTCTCTTTTAAGGAGGGTGTGATCCAAGTCACCGCCCCTACGACCTAGGTTCACTTTTTCAATCCCTGCGAATCTAACCACTTCGGGATCCCCGCAGTGTTGATTTCGTATATGTCTCGCCACAGGGGTGTCCCTCTGATTCCTCACAGAGTGTATGTGCTCCATGATACGTCTTTTAAAGGGGCGGATTGTTTTACCCACGTATCAAAGGATTGAAGGGTTCTATATATGTCTCGCCACAGGGGTGTCCCTCTGATTCCTCACAGAGTGTATGTGCTCCATGATACGTCTTTTAAAGGGGCGGATTGTTTTACCCACGTATCTGAGGCCACAAGTACAGATCAAGAGATAGACTAAACCTTTGGTATTGCAATTAAAAAATTGCTTAACATTGCAGACCACTTGACCACATGAATCTGTGAGGTGTTTGGAGTCTTTACATATGTACCTGCACGCCACACATTTGCCACATTTATAAGTACCCTGCACAGAAAGCCAGTTGTGACCTGGCTTAGTAGAGGAGAAATGACTGGGCACTAGTGCCTCCTTTAAATTCCTTCCTCTACGTGCTGTGAGGGATACATAAGGGGTCACAGTCCCTTTGAGATGGGGATCTTGGGATATAAGTGGCCAGAATCTTCCCAGTATCTTTTTCGCCTGATCCCAACCTGAGTCAAAATTAACAATGCAGCGAATAGGTGCTTGTTCATTAGGGATCGGTTTATCCTTGAGGAGTTCCATTCTATCGCTGTATAGCGCTCTTTGATATGCTTGCTTTAAACAGCGGTTAGGATAACCTCTTTCTTTAAACCTGGTTTTAAGTGACTTGGCTTGAGTAATAAAGTCCTCCATGCTAGAGCAGTTCCTCCTCAACCGGAGGTACTGTCCAACAGGAATGCCTCTCTTTAATGTGGTTGGGTGATGACTTTCCCACCTAAGCATGGTATTTGTTGAGGTGGGTTTCCTGAATAATGTTGTCTCAATGGTCTGCTTAGAAGTGGTACTAAACGTACAGTCGAGGAAATTGAGGGACGAACCCCCTATTTCCATCGTGAACTTCAAATTGAGGTCATTAGAGTTCAAGTTCTCTACAAAGGTCATAAAGCATTCCCTTGTTCCCGTCCATACCACAAGGACGTCATCTATGTACCTCTTCCACATAAAGATGTATTTGGTGTATTCAGTGTTTGTATCAGTGAAGACCACATTCTCCTCCCACCAGCCCAGGTGCAGGTTAGCGTATGATGGGGCACAAGATGTACCCATGGCTGTACCCTGTACTTGGTGGTAGTATTGGCAATCAAATAAGAAGAAATTGTGGGTCAAGACAAATTGCAACAGATCCAATACAAATGAAGTGTGACGTTGATGTTCAGATCCCCGTGTTTCCAAGTAATGTTTAATGTGTCTCAGCCCAAGGGAGTGTGGAATGGAAGAATACAATGCCTCCACATCAAGGCTGCATAAGATGGCATCTCTTGGTAGACTAATGGAGGCTAGGCATTTCAAAGTATCCTTCGTATCTCTAAGGTAAGAAGGTAGCTTTTCTACAAAGGGACGAAGGATCTTATCTAGGTAGATACTGGCCTTACATGTTATGTTATTGGATCCGGACACAATGGGTCTAGCTGTCAAGTTGTCATAGTGCTTATGCACCTTTGGTAGACAGTAGAATGTGGACACGGTCGGACTTTTGACATAGATGAATGTATACTCATCTTTGCCCAAGACTCCATCATCAAACGCCTTGTCTAAAAGATGTTTCAGGGCCGACAAGAATTTGATACGTGGGTAAAACAATCCGCCCCTTTAAAAGACGTATCATGGAGCACATACACTCTGTGAGGAATCAGAGGGACACCCCTGTGGCGAGACATATACGAAATCAACACTGCGGGGATCCCGAAGTGGTTAGATTCGCAGGGATTGAAAAAGTGAACCTAGGTCGTAGGGGCGGTGACTTGGATCACACCCTCCTTAAAAGAGAGTGTTACTGGATCTATAGGTTCAAAACTTTGGCCCCCAATGGTTTAAATGAGGGGTTTACCTTCACTCCCTTCATTGAAAAATAGTAACACTAAGGAACTATATTAATATAATTGTATTATATATGTACATAGTATTTATTTAGACTGTATATACTTTTTTCTTTGTTCTTTATTTATTTTGTTTTATGCATCGGTGATCCACTTGGCCCTATATATACACACTCGTTTATAACTTTATTCACCCATTTTGACATTTAACCTTAATGGCTCTATATGTGCTATTCTGGATATATAAGGATAGTATAATTAATAGGATCTCTCCTTAGAGATCGGCTTATTTGTTATCTAGTCTTAATTCATGCTCAATAATTAACTGGATTCCGCAAGGACTCTTTAATCAATAGGATCTCTCTTCAGAAATTGGCTTATTTATTATGTGGTCGCAATTCATGTTCAATTATTAATTGGACTTCCACCTAGTATTCCAATATGATAATGATATTGATTCTATCGAACTCCTGTGGATTCATAAGCCTTCCTAAGTCCTACACTGATTGTACACCCCTCTCATAAATTACTAATATGGCGATGGGTTTCTTATACCTCAGAATTATCTATGCTGCATGCTACCCAGCAGCAACGTAAGATTGGCACCTACAGGGTTAACGGAGGTATTGTTCAATCAACCCACATTCACCAATCAGAGGCTGGATTGTCATTGGGGGCGGGGCTGGATTACGTTCGGCCAATTTTGGCGCGAACGCACTGCACACGCCCCCATTATGAACTGAGTGTAAAGGGCTATTTAAGGAGCCACCGATGCTCTGATCACCTGTTTAGCCTCAGAAGAAGGCGCGTTAGCAGCGCCGAAACACGTGTTAGGTAGCAGGCAGGATATTTCTTTACCTGGACGCCGACTAGTTTAGTCTCTCTAGATGATCAGTTAGCTAGAACTCCAATACGATTCACTAGAAGGGGTGGGGTGGATATGGGCGACGGGGCTACTGTTTCTACAAGACTCTGTTAAGCTTATTATGTGATAGCTTCTTCCAGTACTACAGACTTGAATATAGCTGCCTTCTTTTCCCCCATTCCTCCATCCCTCAGTAACAGGCGTACAATATTGCTATGATACTTATCACACTGTATCTATCTAGTTACCTAGTAACACTAAGGAACTATTCAGACTAGTGGATGATCACACAGTTAATGGACCTTTTCTACTATTTCTTGCTACAATCTGTTCACAAGGATTTATATAGTTGCTACTTTCTTACCCTATTGGATTTTATTTCAGTTAGTGGTATAAGAGACTTTTGGATAAGAGTCTATCTAGCAAGCATAGAGGAATTGTTTCGCTTTATCTAGGCAAGTTTTAGAGGTACCATCGCTAAGAGATGTACTTTACTGGTTGGGGGGATTTTCAGCTCTATTCAGCTTGAGATCCTTTAGGTGATTCCCTCAGGATTATTATCCCCTTCCAGGCATATATCCTCCCAATTTTAAACATTTATATATATTCTTTCTAAGCTTTTTGCTAGAGTATTTTTATTACAGCAACAATTAAAGGTTATGTTTTACCTCTTTTGTGTATGTATGTATGTATGTATGTATGTATGTATGTATGTATATATATATATATATATATATATATATATATATATATATATATATATATATATATATATATATATATATATATATATATATATATATATATTCACCAGGGGGCGTCCTGTTTTCCCTGACCTATTAGGTCTGTCTTTCAATCAATACACGTATGTGAGGGTTATCCCCTATGTTGGCCGCCCCTAGACACACACCTAGTTGTTTCCCCTTTTGGGGTATCCAACTTTTTTTTTTTTTTTTTTTTAGGATTAGAGGTAAGCAATGGATTTTAGGGGAAAAGTAAACAGGATTTGTAACAATCCAGTGTTAGAAATACATATATTTACTTCTAATGCTGAACTGTTCCTTTAACTCTCTGTAATTATCAGTCATCTACATGTATAAATCTGCACCCATACCTATAAAAATATAAGCTTGTCAGACTATTTTCCACTAAAGATAGAAAAAGATTGTACCATTAATTCAAACATTGCCGTAGATATACCCCCCAGTGTTTCCCAGCCGGTGTAACAGCATGGAATGGGGGCTTATATTGTTTCGGTGACATTAGGTGGGTAATATTCCTTTAAATTTGCTGTAAACACTATGAAAGCGTAGTGTAAATGTGAGTGACCTCATGAAAATGGTTAAATATTACTGGACATACAGGATGCAAAGTCACTTGGGAGGTTCTATTCACAGAGAGTAAAAAGCAGTGACGTTTCAGCTCAAGTCAGAGCCTTTAACAAACTGGATAAAGACGATATTAAGCCAGATCATTGCCGCTTTTAACCTTTTGAGAATAAAGCATCCTGTGAGCCCAGCCGATTTTCCTTCATTTAATGTGTGTCACGGCAGCTCACCTGCAATTAGGACATTTTTTAGACGCCATTTCCGATTTCCAGAAATCTCCAATCAGCTTGTTTCTGGCTATGCAGATATTCTTCACCTAATTAAAAGACGGACAGCAGAAGTGGAATCATCCGTGTTATGGACAAAATTATAAAAAGCAGAAATAGAGTTGGTATAGAGTTAGCATTAACTTCCAAAAATGTATTTACTTCTTAGACTTATGAGGCATTTAACAACAAGGAATGATGCAAAAATCTATATTAAAGTTTTTATGCTTTAGTTGCACTGGATGTTGAAAAATGATCACATTTACTAAAATATATATAATATGTATGGGTGCACCTAAAGAGAAATCCTTAAATTATGGTGGAACAAGCATAGTGCAACTTCAAGACTGTTTTGATTCAGAACAATTCAGGTCCATTACCTCTGTCCTTAAAAGCCCAGCTAGGTTTAACCCTTTCTGCTGTAAACATAGCAGTTTCAGAGAAACTGCTATGTTTACCTATGGGTTAATCCAGCCTCTAGTGGCTGTCTCACTGACAGCCGCTAGAGGCGCTTCCGCGCTTCTCACTGTGATTTTCACAGTGAGAAGACGCCAGCGTCCATAGGAAAGCATTGAGAATGCTTTCCTATGAGACTGGCTGACTGCGCGCACGGCTCTTGCCGCGCATGCGCATTCAGCCGATGACATCAGAAGAGGGAGGAGAGTCCCAGCGGCGAGGGAGCCCGGCGCTGGAAAAAAGGTAAGGAATTAACCCCTTCCTCCCCTTCAGCGCCACAGGAGTGGGACCCTGAGGGTGGGGGCACCCTCAGGGCACTATAGTGCCAGAAAAAAAAGAGTATGTGTTCCTGGCACTATAGTGGTCCTTTAAGGAGTTAAATATAATGCTTTTAGCTGAAATAGTTATATTTAAAAAAAATAAAAATAGGGGCCTGAATAGTTATCTTAATGAATAATAATAAATAAAAAAAAAAATTAAAAAAAGGAAAAGAAAAATGTACAATTTTATTTATACATTTTTTAAATATATTTTTGCTCTCTGCCCTTTAATTGCTAGTATTCTATACCATCGTTGAACTGATTCACAACAAGACGAAACACACACAGGAGAAAATTAATAAAATCCAAAATACCTGATGGACCAGTCTGATATACAATACATACAAAAGGCCCCTAATACACATTTACCAGGACCCTAATAATTCTGCATTTGGACTATGCTCGTGTATTCAGGCCTTTTGTGTGTACTCTGTAGCAAGCTTTAAGATTCTGCAAGGCTTTTAAATCGATTATTCAATCTGTATTCAGTTTCAGCCCATACAGTGTTACTCACAAAAGCGAGAAGTCAGAGGGAATTTCAAATTTAAGGTAAAAATAACAGAAATTGAAAGATTCCCTAATCAACTATATTCACTATGAATGCTCACGTTGGTAAATAACCCTGAAAGTTGCTATTGTGGCGAGGATTATACGGGGATTAAATGCAGCACTGGAAAACACAACAAAAGCGGAAGACTGCAGACCCTGGGTGACTTTTTGACCTGAGAATCTGCTTAATGTCAGACAGTCCATTCGAGGTTTGATTTTGATGGTCAAGGATTCGGCATACTTACAGTTTTGCTCTCGGTCTTTTTCTTGTACTTTTTTAACACACTTCGGGCGTAGTCTTCTAACTCGTCTTTAATCTCGCTACCTGTCGCAGATGAGTTGCCCTCCAGGTACTGGAAGATACATCAATGATGAAAATTTTTACACTATGCGCTCAAACCCATTTATAGTTAAAATACAGCAGGGATCGCACTTCAAGCGGAACCTTCTCGTGTTTTAACTTATTATACGACTTAATCATTTTCAGCTGCCTTAAAAACAGCTTCTCCTTCCTTTACTTATTAAATATTTTCATTTTACAAACTATGAATGCCAATCCTCATGTTTTCCCCTGGTTCCAGTTGTTCCGTTAATCAGCCTATCAGCATACCGGTAATAGGAATAATTGTGAGAATTTGTCATGGAGAATGTGTTGGTGTATGCTGTGTCTTTGATTAGAGTTATAACCGGTTAAGATCCCTTGCTAGTACGATGGTACCTCAAATGTTAATCCATGGGTTTATAAACTGTCTGTATTGCTAAAGAGTTTATATAAGGGCTGTTGTGGGGCAAACGCTACTCTGAATACTACTGGTTACACACAAATGTGTGTTTTGTTTGATCAGGAGGTAGTGGCGATATAGATATATCTCCCAATCCAGCAGTAGATGGAATTAAATTAACCATATAGGGAGTTCTATTTTATAAAAATATATTCACAATTATGAAATTTACTATTTTAGACCTTTCGCTCATATCATGCTAAAAACTGGGAAGGCTGGAAAGTTGAAGAAGAGTGCGTCATGATTCCAGCGACAGACAGTTTAGCTCTTTTAGCATGTCACAGTGGTGGGTAAAGTTATTAACCATTCTATTTTGATTTTCACATTAGTGCAGTTATGTTCCTTGAGATGAACACCGCACTCCTCCACTCACACGCACCCATCAGGTGTGACTGCAGTAAAGTATAAATTTGAGTTGAGCCTCAGGAAAAACTTAAAGTAGTACGTTTTGCACTGCGCATGCTTTAGCGCTGGGGAACTTCGCAAGCAGTAGAGGGCTTAAACACATTAAGACCATATGCTAAGGTTTCGTCACCATTTTCTTTTCTTACTTTAGATAGGTGATCTGGTTAGTAAATGCCAGTTATGGCAAAAACATACACTGTAAATTGATTAGAAAGAATGAAGGGGGGGATATGTGTTTTATATGAAATTGTCACTTCTTTGTAAACCACAGTAAATGAGGCCAAAAACCAAAAATAGCAATTTCATTTGTAATTTTTTTTATCCCATAATTCATCTTGTGTGCTGCCCTGGCAAAGCTAGAGCATGCCATGTAAATTAACGTAACCCCGGAACTGCACTTTGGGAAGGAATGTTTGAATGTGTCAGGACCATCATGGACCTGTGCTGTTTTTCTGAACAAGGACATTCTACAGTTGTAAGCATGTTTGTTTGTGTTTCTCTTTGAAAGATGATGTTATTTTTACAGTGCGGAGGCAATAACATCACGAGTGGCAGTGCTATGTGTTTGCCTCCTGAAACCTATCTTACGGTTCCGTGTTCAGATACAGTAACATTATGGCTGCCGGTAAAGCAGAATCAAAGCTTTAGGAAGCGGCGACCTGTGTAGAATTATTTAAGCTCTCCTATGGATCACAACTACCGACCTGCATTAAACTACAAAACTTTCAAGGAGAGAAGATGTAGGAGACGTAAACCCATGTACCTAGCAGTAGAGATCTTACTTCCCTACTCCGTAATCTCAGATAGAGTGCACCAGGACATAACATTTTATCTGGCAAACCTCAGCCAGTAAAACAAACAATCTGTGATGGAGAGGAAGCTATTAAAAGAGAGCTCTGTGCTACACGAGCAAAGATCCTCTAATTCCTAGTTAGAACACAAAGTAACAGTGTGTGTTTGTGGGGAAGGGGTACAGGGTTCTAGAGCACCCTGCGACTTTTAGATTCTGCCATTACTGCACCCTTTCACAACCTATTGGATTGTTAGATCTATGAAGTGGACACTCACTCTTCCAAGAACAGCTTCCAGTTCGTGAACCTCGTGGAGGGCACCATGTTCAAGGACCTTCAGTTGATTGAGCAGCAAGTGAATGACCGCACGAGGACATGTCAGCAAGTGGCAGTGAAAACAGGAGCCACGTACCAGTAGGAACAGTTTCTAATGATAGAAGAAGATGAAGGACCATGATTAAATTATAAAAGAGCACGGTGAGACCTCTTAATTCTATGGAATAAACCAAATGTTTCATTTACACTGAAGGCTTTAAGACATAATCTGGTGCAGGTTATACTAGTGGAAAGATAGCATTTGAGAAATATTTATTACTGGCATTTATAAAGCGCCAACAAATTCCGCAGCGCCGTACAATTGGGAAAAGGGTAAACACAATAAGAACACACCGATACAACAGGTAGAGCTTACAATCTAAAAGAAATAAGATGGGAAGAGATAGCAACTCAAGAATAAAATAGAAACATTATCTTTATTTAGAGAATAATTCTAAAAGATCGCCAATAGGCAATAATCAAACAATAAATGTCTTAGTTTGATACTCCGTATATTCCCTTATTCTGTTACAATGTTTGCTGTGTAGTTTAACGTACAAGTTGTATTAGTGGTAGTTGATATTATCGAACTACTTGTATTATATACACAACATAGATGCATTGGTATAACAAGATCCAGGAAGCTGAGAGCAGGTAATCCCAAACAAGAGCCATAAATTGCATTCACTTGTAACCAATATGCTCTGCACACACAATGCAGATGCGTGGCCAACACTGCGCAATGCCATATTTAGCTAGCCTTTGAACGGGCCATATTTTAAATGTATAAATAAATGCTATTCATATAGAGATTTAAGCTAAAACATTAAAAAACTATTAACTCATGTTTTAATCATTACATCATCAACTCCTATTTAATATATATATAAAAAAAAATTAATTAAAGTAAACAATCCCCCTTTGCTGGAATTCAAAAGGGGGTCTCTAACGCAGCCACCTTCATCCTAAAATCCTGTCATAACTTATTGTATTTTCATTAAAAGAGCAAATAAATTATAAATAGAAAACGTGAACCCAAAGTATAACCGTAATTATATCATGTCTCTAAAACAATATTGTACCATATTAAAGATATTTATCTCAATCATGCATTTAAACAAGCACTCTTAATGTAGCCACCTCGGCTCCACAGAATAACCAGGAACATATCCTGTAAGGCACACAAATATAACTATGTTGATTCTTCAACCTACTTATGCACGCTCAGTATAAATGAAGCTTTCTGTTGCAGGGCTGTTTTGTAGCCTTAATAATTTAATCCTTGATCGAAATCATATAAGACAATACCATGGCTCCTTATCAGATATTGGAAGCAAACTAAACAGAAATCTTCAGGTGCAAATACCTCAACTCCCACAACTTGTCAGGGGGCCTTCTTCACCACAACAATACCCCCTAATAGAAGGTACCTAAATTTGTTAAATATATATATATATACAAACACACACCGATTATCTCTGCTGACTGGGAGTCCCCAGACTGCCTACAGTACCAATACTACCATTCTCATCACTAGAAACAAGAACACCCATCATCCATTGATATTGGCTAGGCAAAGTCGAGGAGACCTGCTCAATGGAAGTCTTTGAAATGTACACACATAGCCAGACTGAGACAGTGGCTAGACTATAGTGAGGGTTTGTTTGGAATATCTCCCTGGAATTAGATATTTTCAGCTCTCTACTATGGTTGTCAGGACTTGCCTTCCTCTACAACTAAATGTGTCTACTCTCTAGTCTCCTGAATACCTAGTACTAATTTCTGAGTGGTTGGGTCTGTACTGTATGGGTTGCCTATGGGAAAAATGATCATGAAATTGCCTTCCTTGTTTCCTCTTCCTCTGTGTCTCACCACTGATACCATTGACATTATTGCTTTAACTTGCCTCTGTGGCAGACGAGCATTATCAAAATACACAGCTGGGCCATTGGGATAGACCTTTATGTCAAAAATTATTTCAATATACTTTTATTGTAATCCACTAGTTTGCTAGCACAACATTTAGCCGGTATTGGATGTACTTTTATTTTCTTTAAACATTCACATGTTTAAGCGTTTACAGGTACGCTTTATGATAAACTACACCTGACAAAAATCTAATAAACCTCTGTTTTTACCCAATAGTAGTAACAGACCAAGTAAAAGAATGAGTGCATTATTCCAACACCTCTGGACTTACATCAAAAATGAGTGGGTTATAAACAATGAGGGGTAGTTCGATATGTCCTAGGTGACCAGGGCAGTTGTTGAAGTCCTGGGCACAGGTGCCGCACACTTCCTTGGTGTCTGCAGGTCCCAGAGCCAGATCGTAAAGGCCATTAGCCATTGGGTTCCCAACATTGTCCAAATATCTGTAGTTGGTAATTGCTTTCACACTCAGATTTCTAAAATGTAAAAACATAGAAACAGTTAATAGCTTGCATTTGATTTTCACTAAATATTTACTCATTTACAGTTTGAGCAATGCCCTGCGTAGTTTTGTGTTTTTGTGATTAGCCGATTTGAAAAATAAAGAAAAAAAAAAAAAACTCACCTATATTCATTTTGGCTATTTTAGACTAGATTTTGAAGTTCTGTTTTCAGTTAACTACAAATCAGTGTTACACAAAACCCTAAACAGAAAATCAAGTCGAACAACTCATTGATAATATTGATAGTGACTGAGCATTCACCGAATTATCTGTTAAGTGAAGCAGCCAGTACTAATACTGCATTTCTACTTTACCATACGTAGGTAAAGGAGAAAAAAAAAAAAAAATCAGTTTACAATCTAACCAAAACATTGTGATTGTTGTTAAATATATTGTGCTCCCATAGACTAAAAAAAAAAAAAATAATAATAATTCACAAACAAAATAAAACAAAAGTGCTAGAATATGGAGTAGGCACAATACAACTCCCATCACCCACAGCCTGGGGTTTATTTAGTATATAAGTGAATGCTGTCCAACAGTTGCCTGTCAGCTTTGCAGAATGAAAGGGAGTAGTGAGTATCGAGGTGTAGCAGTAAGTCCAAACGTTGGCTGAACAGTAACTTCGTGTGGTCTATCAACCAGTCGGGGAGTTTTAGGACAGTTGCATGCTGTGTACAGTGACCATGCTAAATGGCCCATGGCTAGACCCTTTGAGTCCGCACGCAGCAGGTCAGTCGCCCCCCATGCCCACACTGCAGGTTAGTCGCCCCCCCCCCCATGCCCACAAAGCAGGTTAGTCGCCCCCCGTGCCCACAGCAGGTTAGTCGCCCCCCGTGCCCACACTGCAGGTTAGTCGCCCCCCATGCCCACACAGCAGGTTAGTCGCCCCCATGCCCACACTGCAGGTTAGTCGCCCCCCCATGCCCACACTGCAGGTTAGTCGCCCCCATGCCCACACTGCAGGTTAGTCGCCCCCATGCCATACCTGCAGGTTAGTCGCCCCCATGCCACACTGCAGGTTGTCGCCCCCATGCACACTGCAGGTGCCCCCATGCCCACACTGCAGGGGTCGCCCCCCATGCCCACACAGCGGTTAGTCGCCCCCACACAGCAGGTTAGTCGCCCCCGTGCCCACTGGGTTAGTCGCCCCCATGCCCACACACAGCAGGGTTAGTCGCCCCCATGCCCACACTGCAGGTTGTCGCCCCCCATGCCCACACACTGCAGGTTAGTCGCCCCCATGCCCACACTGCAGGTTGGTCGCCCCCCATGCCCACACTGCAGGTTAGTCGCCCCCATGCCCACACTGCGGTGCCCACACTGCAGGTTAGTCGCCCCCCGTGCCCACACTGCAGGTTAGTCGCCCGTCGCCCCCATGCCCACACTGCAGGTTAGTCGCCCCCCGTGCCCACACTGCAGGTTAGTCGCCCCCCGTGCCCACACTGCAGGTTAGTCGCCCTATGCCCAGACCCTGTAGCCCCGGTTACCTGATGTCGTCCGATGAGTATATCCCGAATGAGATGTTGTCCAGCCGCCTCCATGGTAAGTCCTTAGAGATGAGCATGGTGCGGGCTGGGGGAGCGCTCTCACACTGCGCCCTGTGCACCACGTGCGGACCCGGAACTGGAATAAACCAATACACGGGCTACAGCGGGGGGGGAGATAGGGTTAGCTATTACTGTATTCTCTATTGGAGTGAAAGGCAGTCTAGCGGCGGTGGCTATCATTAGATCATTATATATATATATATACTGTGTGTGTGTGTGGAATGTTTAATGATTATAAACACCCCCCCCCCCCCGGTGTAATGGTACAGTCCGTGCCCTGGGCCCACTCACTGTCATGGCGCTGCCCTGTGTGCGGCTCGGGGCTGTCCGGCTCTGGCCCGCTCCAATAACCAGGTACGGGGGGGGGGGGGCCGGTAATGGAGAATAGAGACTGCTGGTAACAGGAATCAACATTAATACCCGGAGTGAGGGAACCAAACACGGCCACTGCCACAAGGTCACAGTGTACACAATGTATCCAATATAGTGAGAGTGACAGTCAGTGTATGTGTGTACATGTATCCAATATAGTGAGAGTGACAGTCAGTGTATGTGTGTACATGTATCCTATATAGTGAGAGTGACACAGTCAGTGTATGTGTGTACATGTATCCTATAGTGAGAGTGACACAGTCAGTGTATGTGTGTACATGTATCCCATATAGTGAGAGTGACACAGTCAGTGTATGTGTGTACATGTATCCCATATAGTGAGAGTGACACAGTCAGTGTATGTGTGTACATGTATCCCATATAGTGAGAGTGACACAGTCAGTGTATGTGTGTACATGTATCCAATATAGTGAGAGTGACACAGTCAGTGTATGTGTGTACATGTATCCTATATAGTGAGAGTGACACAGTTAGTGTATGTGTGTACATGTATCCAATATAGTGAGAGTGACACAGTTAGTGTATGTGTGTACATGTATCCAATATAGTGAGAGTGACACAGTCAGTGTATGTGTGTACATGTATCCTATATAGTGAGAGTGACACAGTTAGTGTATGTGTGTACATGTATCCAATATAGTGAGAGTGACACAGTTAGTGTATGTGTGTACATGTATCCTATATAGTGAGAGTGACACAGTCAGTGTGTGTGTGTACATGTATCCTATATAGTGAGAGTGACACAGTTAGTGTATGTGTGTACATGTATCCTATATAGTGAGAGTGACACAGTTAGTGTATGTGTGTACATGTATCCAATATAGTGAGAGTGACACAGTTAGTGTATGTGTGTACATGTATCCTATATAGTGAGAGTGACACAGTCAGTGTATGTGTGTACATGTATCCAATATAGTGAGAGTGACACAGTCAGTGTATGTGTGTACATGTATCCAATATAGTGAGAGTGACACAGTTAGTGTATGTGTGTACATGTATCCTATATAGTGAGAGTGACACAGTCAGTGTATGTGTGTACATGTATCCTATATAGTGAGAGTGACACAGTCAGTGTATGTGTGTACATGTATCCTATATAGTGAGAGTGACACAGTCAGTGTATGTGTGTACATGTATCCTATATAGTGAGAGTGACACAGTCAGTGTATGTGTGTACATGTATCCTATATAGTGAGAATGACACAGTCAGTGTATGTGTGTACATGTATCCTATAGTGAGAGTGACAGACAGTGTATGTGTGTACATGTATCCAATATAGTGAGAGTGACACAGTCAGTGTATGTGTGTACATGTATCCAATATAGTGAGAGTGACACAGTCAGTGTATGTGTGTACATGTATCCAATATAGTGAGAGTGACACAGTCAGTGTATGTGTGTACATGTATCCAATATAGTGAGAGTGGCACAGTCAGTGTATGTGTGTACATGTATCCAATATAGTGAGAGTGACACAGTCAGTGTATGTGTGTACATGTATCCAATATAGTGAGAGTGACACAGTCAGTGTATGTGTGTACATGTATCCAATATAGTGAGAGTGACACAGTCAGTGTATGTGTGTACATGTATCCAATATAGTGAGAGTGACACAGTCAGTGTATGTGTGTGTACATGTATCCCATATAGTGAGAGTGACACAGTCAGTGTATGTGTACATGTATCCAATATAGTGAGAGTACACAGGCCGCGTATGTGTACATGTATCCAATATAGTGAGAGTGACACAGTCAGTGTATGTGTACACATTGCATTATAGTGAGAGGGACATGTCAGTGTATGTGTACACGTATCCCATATAGTGAGTGACACTGTCAGTGTATGTGTGTACGCTGCATTCCATATAGTGAGAGGACAGTCAAAGTGTATGTGTACATGCATCCTATATATAGTGAGAGTGACACAGTTAGTGTATGTGTGTACATGTATCCAATATAGTGAGAGTGACACAGTCAGTGTATGTGTGTACATGTATCCTATATAGTGAGAGTGACACAGTCAGTGTATGTGTGTACATGTATCCTATATAGTGAGAGTGACACAGTCAGTGTATGTGTGTACATGTATCCTATAGTGAGAGTGACATATTCAGTGTATGTGTGTACATGTATCCAATATAGTGAGAGTGACACAGTCAGTATATGTGTGTACATGTATCCAATATAGTGAGAGTGACACAGTCAGTGTGTGTGTACATGTATCCAATATAGTGAGAGTGACACAGTCAGTGTATGTGTGTACATGTATCCAATATAGTGAGAGTGACACAGTCAGTGTATGTGTGTACATGTATCCTATATAGTGAGAGTGACACAGTCAGTGTATGTGTGTACATGTATCCTATAGTGAGAGTGACATATTCAGTGTATGTGTGTACATGTATCCAATATAGTGAGAGTGACACAGTCAGTATATGTGTGTACATGTATCCAATATAGTGAGAGTGACACAGTCAGTGTGTGTGTACATGTATCCAATATAGTGAGAGTGACACAGTCAGTGTATGTGTGTACATGTATCCAATATAGTGAGAGTGACACAGTCAGTGTATGTGTGTACATGTATCCAATATAGTGAGAGTGGCACAGTCAGTGTATGTGTGTACATGTATCCAATATAGTGAGAGTGACATAGTCAGTGTATGTGTGTACATGTATCCCATATAGTGAGAGTGACACAGTCAGTGTATGTGTGTACATGTATCCCATATAGTGAGAGTGACACAGTCAGTGTATGTGTGTACATGTATCCTATATAGTGAGAGTGACACAGTTAGTGTATGTGTGTACATGTATCCAATATAGTGAGAGTGACACAGTCAGTGTATGTGTGTACATGTATCCTATATAGTGAGAGTGACACAGTCAGTGTATGTGTGTACATGTATCCTATATAGTGAGAGTGACAGTCAGTGTATGTGTGTACATGTATCCTATAGTGAGAGTGACATATTCAGTGTATGTGTGTACATGTATCCAATATAGTGAGAGTGACACAGTCAGTGTATGTGTGTACATGTATCCAATATAGTGAGAGTGACACAGTCAGTGTGTGTGTACATGTATCCAATATAGTGAGAGTGACACAGTCAGTGTATGTGTGCGTTACGTATCCCATATAGTGAGAGTGACACAGTCAGTGTATGTGTGTACATGTATCCTATATAGTGAGAGTGACACAGTCAGTGTATGTGTGTACATGTATCCATATAGTGAGAGTGACACAGTCAGTGAATGTGTGTACATGTATCCTATAGTGAGAGTGACACAGTCAGTGTATGTGTGTACACAATGTATCCAATATAGTGAGAGTGACACAGTCAGTGTATGTGTGTACATGTATCCAAGTGTATAGTGTGAGAGTGACACAGTCAGTATGTGTGTACATGTATCCATATAGTGAGAGTGACACAGTCAGTGTATGTGTGTACATGTATCCAATATAGTGAGAGTGACACAGTCAGTGTATGTGTGTACATGTATCCTATATAGTGAGAGTGACACAGTCAGTGTATGTGTGTACATGTATCCTATATAGTGAGAGTGACACAGTCAGTGTATGTGTGTACATGTATCCTATATAGTGAGAGTGACACAGTCAGTGTATGTGTGTACATGTATCCAATATAGTGAGAGTGACACAGTCAGTGTATGTGTGTACATGTATCCAATATAGTGAGAGTGACACAGTCAGTGTATGTGTGTACATGTATCCAATATAGTGAGAGTGACACAGTCAGTGTATGTGTGTACATGTATCCCATATAGTGAGAGTGACACAGTCAGTGTATGTGTGTACATGTATCCCATATAGTGAGAGTGACACAGTCAGTGTATGTGTGTACATGTATCCAATATAGTGAGAGTGACACAGTCAGTGTATGTGTGTACATGTATCCTATAGTGAGAGTGACATATTCAGTGTATGTATTTGCTGCTAGCTGCTCCTGTTAATGCCAGATTCAGTGTTTTCATGAACATTAATCATATATACATACTGTTGGGCTGTGCATGAGTGTTTGAGCAGGGCTTTCTTCATCTCTAGAGATCTCCTTTTTTTTTAATTAAGGAGCGCTGCAGAATATTCCATCCAGTTTGTTGATCCAAAAGAAGACACAAAAAATAAAATCACAAATTCGAAGCCCTGGCCAATTGTGATATAAACAAGAGAAAAGGTTTCTTCCTGATTTCCGAAATGGCAATCCGATTTCTCATTGGATCACCAATCTGCTCCAATACACAGTCAGTGTATGTGTGTACATGTATCCAATATAGTGAGAGTGACACACATACACTGACTGTGTCACTCTCACTATATAGGATACATGTACACACATACACTGACTGTGTCACTCTAACTATATGGGATACATGTACACACATACACTGACTGTGTCACTCTCACTATATGGGATACATGTACACACATACACTGACTGTGTCACTCTAACTATATGGGATACATGTACACACATACACTGACTGTGTCACTCTCACTATATAGGATACATGTACACACATACACTGACTGTCACTCTCACTATAGGATACACAATATCCTTGATTATTGTGATATAATACACAATTGTGATATAAACAAGAGAAAAGGTTTCTTCCTGATATCCGAAATGGCAATCCGATTTCTCATTGGATCACC